GTTCACTCCCCAGTTGGCTGCAATGGCTAGAGTAGCACTGATCTGAAGCCAGGAGCTTCTTCTGCGTCTCCCATACCGGTGCAGGGGCCCAAAGACTTGGGCCATCCTCTGCTGCTTTCCCAGGCCATAGCAGAGAGTGGGATATGAAGTGGAGCAGCCGCGTCTCAAAGCAGCGCCCATATGGGATGCCGGCACTTCAGGCCAGGGCATTAACCTGCTGTGCCACAGCGCCAGCCCCTGAATTATCGATTCTGAAAACATTAAAAACACAGTGATTCACCAGGAAATGGTAAGGCAAAGACCCCTCCCCTTAGTGTTTGAAAGGTGGGGGAAGAGTAACTAGTGTGAGTGCAGTCTCTAGCTAGGTGCTGTAGAGTTAAGTACAAGAGCAGATGTTATACTATCAACATAGTGAAGCCCAGCAAAGACAGTAATAGATTGAATCATTTATCTATACTACTTGAGTAAAGGAAATTTTTTTTTTAAAGATTTATTTGGTTAAAGCCCCTGACTGCAGCGTTGGAATCCCATATGGGTGCTGGTTTGAGTTCTGGCTGCTCTACTTTTTTTTTTTTTTTTTTAAGATTTATTTTATTTATTTGAAAGAGTTACAGAGAGAGATAGAGACAGAGAGGTCTTCCATCCACTGGTTTACTCTCCAGATGGCCACAATGGCCAGAGCTGCGCCGATCTGAAGCCAGGAGCGTCTTCTGAGTCTCCCACGTGGGTGTAGGGGCCCAAGGACCTGGGCCATCTTCTGCTTTCCCAGGTCATAGCAGAGAGCTGGATCAGAAGTGGAGCAGCCAGGACTCGAACAGGTGCCCATATGGGATGCCGGCGCTTCAGGCCAGGGCTTTAACCCACTGCGCCATAGGGCCAGCCCCTGACTGCTCTGCTTCTGTTCCAGCTCCCTGCTAATGTTCCTGGGAAAGCAGTAGAGAGGACGGCCCAAGTCCTTGGTCCTTTGCACCCATGTGGGAGACCTGGAAGAAGCTCCTGGCTTTGGATCAGCCCAGCTCCAGCTGTTGCAGACATTTGGGGAGTGAAGCAGGAGATGGAAAATCTCTAACTCTCTGTCTCTACCTCTCTCTGTAACTCTTTCAAATAGATAAATCTTAAAAAAAAAATTTTTTTTTTAAATTTTATTTATTTAAAAGACAGAGTTACAGGGAGAAGAGAAAGACAGAACTTCTATCTTCTGGTTCACTTCTTGAATGGCCACAGTAGCTGGAACTGTTCCAAGCTGAAGCCAGGAGCCCGGAACTCCATCCTAGTCTCTCACGTTGGGTGGCAGGGGCCCAAGCACTTGGGCCACCTTCCACTGCTTTCCTAGGCACATTAGCAAGGAGCTAGATCAGAAGTGGAGCAGCCAGGATTCAAACCGGCCTTCACATGGGATGTTGGCAATGCAGGCAGTGGCTTAATCTGCTACACCACAACACCAGCCCAAAGGAAATAATTTTAAATGAGTGTTTGTAAATTTTAACATTGTTAATTTAAAGAAATTTGAAAGCCGGAGTTGCAGAGACAGACACACATGTTTGCCTCTTTCCCAGGGGCATTAGCAAGAAGCTGGATTGGAAGTACAGTAGCCTACTGGCATTGCAGGCAGCAACTTAACCCACTTAACTGATTTAAGCCGCTGGGCCACAACACCTGACCCTATTTATTTGTTAATGAAGCCTCAGTTTATTGTTAGAACAAGCATATTTCAAATTTCTCATTTCTAATGTGGAGGGAAGGGAATGGTGACCTCATTTAAGGAAGTAGTGTTGTTGGTTTTAGATGAAAGGATCTAAGACCACATTCAACCAAGTGGGATTTTTTTGTTTTTGCCTCAAATTGGTCTCTTTATCCTGATTTTACTCTTTGGGTGTGTAGGAGTTTGTGGCCCTTGTTATCTGGAAATATTTGTTCTAGCACAGTGTGTTCTCTATCTTTAAAATTGTTTCAGTTAAGATACATGTATTGTGCTTTATTTCATTGTTCTAAAGGCATATATTTTAACATTTCTGAAATTCGGTTGCTCTATTAGCATTTTTCTGTTAAAATGGCTCTTTACTTATGATATATGATACTTAAAATCTGATGTCACAGTTAAGTGAATATGCTCATTTCCAGTTCCCATTATCTGACATCTTGAAACATCCTCAAGTTTCAAATCCCTCTTTGATAGTGATTTTTAAAAATATATTTGTTGAAAAAAATATTTGTTGATTTGAAAGGCAGAGTTAGAGAGAGTATGTTCCAGAGAGAGGTCTTCCATTCTCTGGTTCACTCAGCAAATGGCTGAAATAGCCAGGGCTGGGCCAGGCCAAAGCCAGGAGCTTCTTTGGGGTCTCCCATGTGGGTGGTAGGGATCCAGGCACTTGGGCCATCTTCTGCTGCTTTCCCAGTCACATAAGCAGGGAGCAGAAGTGGAGCAGCCAGGACTCAAACCAAATGCTCATAGGGAATTGCCAGCATTGTAGGCAGCAGCTTAATCCACTGTTTCACAACACTGGCCCAATACATTTAAAAAAAATATTTATTTGCTTATAAATTGGATAGTGCAACAGAAAGATCACTTGCTTGCTCACTCACCAAATGGCTGCAACAGCCAGGTCTGGGCCAGGCCAAAGCCAGGAGCCAGGAACTCCATTTAGGTCTCCCATATGGGTGACAGAGCCCAAATACTTGTGCCATCATTTACTGCCTTCCCAGGCACATTAGCAGGAAGCTGAATTAGAAGTGAAACAGCCAAGACTCCAGCTGGTATTCCATATGGAATGCCCTGATGCAAGCATCTGCTTACGACTGTGCCAACCCCTGGCTGTGAATTTTGATAGTTGAATAAATACCTCAATGTGTCCTTTTTGTCCCTAATTAGAGCAGACATTTTCTGTGTGTTCCATCCTGTTCTGGATATAGATAAATATAGATGTTGTTTAAGAATTATTTGAGAATGAGACTGAGAGAGAGAGCTCCCATCCTCTGTTCTGTTTTTCCTAAATGCTCATAGTGGCCAGGGCTGGAGCCAGGAACTAAGAACTCAATCCAGGTCTCCCACATTGGTGACAGTAATACAATCCTTTGAGCTATCACCACTGCACCCTGAGGCCTACATTAGCAGGAAGCCATAGCCAAGAAAAACTCAGGTACTTTGATATGGGGTACAGGTGTCTAAAACCACTAGACCAAACACCTGTCCCATATGTACATTAAAAAAAAAAAAAAACACTTGAAGATTTACATGTATTCCATAGCTACAAAGAATAACTGAGGCCGGTGCCGCAGCTCACTAGGCTAATCCTCCACCTTGTGGCGCCAGCACACCGGGTTCTAGTCCCGGTTGGGGCGCCACATTCTGTCCCGGTTGCCCCTCTTCCAGGCCAGCTCTCTGCTGTGGCCAGGGAGTGCAGTGGAGGATGGCCCAAGTGCTTGGGCCCTGCACCCCATGGGAGACCAGGATAAGTACCTGGCTCCTGCCATCGGATCAGCGTGGTGCGCCGGCCGCGGCAACCATTGGAGGGTGAACCAACAGCAAAAGGAAGACCTTTCTCTCTGTCTCTCTCTCTCTCACTGTCCACTCTGCCTGTCAAAAAAAAATAAATAAAAATAAAAATAACTGAAAGTGGGGCCAGCATTGTGGGATAGTGGTTTAAGCTGCTGCCTACAATGCCAGCATCCCATGGGGCGCTGGTTTGAGACCTGGCTGCTCCACTTTTGATCCAGCTCCCTGCTAATGTACCTGGAAAAGCAGCAGAGGATGGTCTAAGTCTTTGGGCCCCTGTACTCATGTTGGGGACTCTGAAGAAGCTCCTGGCTTCTGTCTGGCCCAGCCCGTTTCTGCAGTCATTTGGGGAATGAACCAGCTGATGGAAGACTCTCTCTCTCTCTCTCTCTGCAACTCTGCCTTTCTAATAAATAAATCTTTAAAAAAAAAAAAAACCTGAAAGTAAAATTATTTTCCTTTATAAAAGGATGTTAGTGGCAACAAACACTTGCAAATACAATTCTGTAACAGTTCTGTGAGATACGTGTTAGAAAGTATTACATAGTCTTGTTTCACAAATAAGGAAACAGAGGGGCTGGCATTGTGGCATAGCTGGTTAAACCTCTGCCTGTGATGCCGGCATCCCATATGGGAGCTGGTTCAAGTCCCAGATGTTCCACTTTCAATCCAGCTCCCTGCTGATGTATCTGAGAAAGCAGTGGAAGATAGTCCAAGTGCTTGGGCCCCTGCACCCACATGAGAGACCAGGAAGAAGCTCCTGGCTTCAATCTGGCCCTGCCCCAGCCATGTGGCCATTTGGAGAATAAACCAGAGGATGGATGTTCTTTCTCTCTCTCCCTCTCCATCTCCGTCTCTGTCTCTGTCCCTGTAATTCTGACTTTCAAATAAATGAATATTTTTAAAAGTAAGGAAATGGACTTACTTTCCGAGAATTACGATAAATTGTTTGTCAGAGCTTGGATTTTTGTTTGTTGGTTTGTTTTATTAGACAGAGTTGGAGAGAGAGAGACAGAGAGAAAGGTCTTCCCTCCGCTGGTTCACTCCCCAAATGGCCACCACGGCTGGCACTGCATCAATCTGAAGCCAGGAGCCAGGTGCTTCCTCCTGGTTTCCCATGTGGGTGCAGGGCCCAAGCATTTGGGCCATCCTCCACCACCCTCCCAGGCCACAGCAGAGAGCTGGACTGGAAGAGGAGCAACCAGGACTAGAACCCGGTGCCCATATGGGATGCTAGCGCTGCAGGCGGAGGGTTAGCCATGTGAGCCATGGTGCCGGCCTCCAGAGCTTGGATTTGAACTCCTGCCTGACTTCACTGTCCTTGCTCCTAATGACTATGCCATTCTGACTTTAGAAACTTGTATACTTAGAGTTTTATGAATGTTTTTGAAGGGAAAGGGGCAAATCTGGGATTTGGGGTCTGTTTTTGACCTATGAGTTCATAAAGTAGGCCATATCAGTTGGAAGAAGGTAAAATAAATGATTTCTGTTCTCTTTGCTTTTTAAGATGGTGATGGAATTTCCTGACAATGTGTTAAATCTCGACGGGCATCAAAATAATGGTGCACAGCTAAAGCAGTTCATTCAGGTAATAGCTTTTAAAAAATCAGTGCTTTCAGTGGTGTGTGTGTATGCGTATGTGTATAAATGTGTGTGAAGAGTCATTTAAAGTTCCTCTTCAAATAATTTGTTTCACCTAGAGTTCACTAAATCTTCAGGTTGTGCTGACATTGCTTTCTCTTTTACTGTTGCTACAGTGAATATGGTTATGAGTTCTAGACCTGTTGTGTGAAAGAAAATTGGTGGTATTGTGGTATTATGTTAATATTCTGTGTGTCAGTAGGAATGTTAATTTTACCAGACCATCTTTCACAGTTTTTAACAGATAGGGTACACAACTATTCATTAAAAACTTGTAGGTTTTCTTCTGTAGTAATTGTTTTGCTTAGGTTTAAAAAAAAATTAATCTTGTATGGTAAACTAATTTTCATTTCATTCCTGAGAAATGAGACATTTTTTAAATACACTTAAGATATAGAAGGTAACTTGTTAATTTACTTGAAGACTATTTCTGCCTTTAGAGAAAAAATGATATATAAATGGCGAATTTTTTTTCTTTGTATAAATGCTGAATGTTTTAGTGAATCTGGAAGTGTCGAATGTAGTATAACTGTAACTCCACAGGTAGAAGTTACTGGAGTTTTGTCCATTTCTCTACAGCCATGGTTCTCAGTCACTTTTCTGCCTTATTATAACCAACAGATAACAATATATTATTCACTGCAGACTCCTACATAGTTAAGATAGGCCTTGTTTTACCCACTAATCCGTAATACACCTGTCCATACCTTCAGGTTGAGAATTGCTGTTGTACATGATCACTGTCCTGACTTGACTCATAGTGTGTTGTTAAAAAAAAAAAAAAAAAAAAAAAACCATGGTAAAGCTGAATTATGTGTCTATCTATTTTGAGAGTGCCAGGTTTAATACTTAGTGAACAAGCCCTGAATTTCCAGATGCAGGGCATCCTTTTGTGATGCTGGGGCACATACTGTTTAGTGTTGGCATCCTAAGCAGAATTTCTTATACCCTGGATTCTGAATTAGGGAGTTTTATGAAATAAACTCGGTATAGCATGGACAAGATGGTATTGCCTTGATTTTCTGCTTCACTTGCAAATAACAGGGTCAATCCCTGCTCAGACTGTACTTGGAACCAATAGTAGTGAAAAGAAATTTTATGTCTTAAAAGTCTCTTAATTTTTCTTTCTCTTTTTCTCAGCGACATAGTATGCTTAAGCAACAAGACCTGAGTATTGCCATGGTGGTTACATCACGTGAAGTCTTAAGTGCACTTTCTCAGCTTGTCCCGTGTGTTGGTTGTCGGCGCAGTGTGGAGCGCCTCTTTTCCCAGCTTGTAGAGTCTGGAAATCCTGCTCTTGAACCACTGACAGTAGGGCCCAAGGGAGTCCTATCTGTAACCCGAAGTTGCATGACAGATGCAAAGAAGCTTTATACGTTATTTTATGTACATGGGTAGGTATAATCATTTAAGAGAAAGTGAGTTTGTTAAGTTTTTAAATAGCTTGATGACAGTGGCAGCTGTCTTTTTTTTTTTTTTTTTTTAATTTGGGGCAAAGATGTGTCCCAGTTTTATTTTGTGATTTGTTGGTGAATATAAAGTTGTGCTTGTGTTGAGGGAGATAGTAACAGGTAATTTGTTAGGTACTTATCATACTGATAAGTTAGGGGAAAAAAGGGACAGAATTAAATATGAAGGGTAATCAGGGAATGCCTTTTTGATAAAATGACTTTGAATATTACTTAAATGAAGAGAGTAGGGAGCCATGTATAAATAGCTGGAGGAAGGGGGAGGAGAAACAAGCGATGGGTTAGAGGTGGTGAGTTTTTGTTGTTGTTGTTGTTGTTGTTGTTGTTATGGCACATCTGAGGAATAGCAAGAAAGCTGTTACGGCTGGAACCAGATAAATGAAGGAAACAGTAATAGAAGATCCTGAGATCTTCTGTTTTTACTTGTAGTGAGATTAGAAGCTTTGGGAGAGTTCTGAGCAGATGAATGTGATGCAATCTGACTTGAAGTTCGGCTTACTCTGACTTCTATACTGAGAGTAAAGTGTGGGGAGGCAAGGAGTGTGCACAGGCAGGGCGGGGAGCACAGAAACAGGGTCTGTAATGATCAGTGGGGGAGGTGATGGGGAAGTGGGCCAGAGGAATGGCCATGCGGACAATGAGAAAGGGTAGAATCTTGGACATATTTTGAGGAATGAGCCAACAAGTTTTTGGATAGATTGGTCACGGGAGAAGGCATGAAGAATGATTGTTAATTTGCAGTCTGTAAGACAGACATGATTTCTGTGTACTGAAATGGACAAGACTGAGGGTAGCAATTTTTCAGAGCTCACTTTTGGTTATATGAGTGAGAGACCAGTTGGGCATCCAAGAAGAGTTCAGAGAAAACTGGCCTAGAGCTATAAACTTGTGTCATTTAATGAGTTTAAATAGGAAAGGAGAAGTGGTCTAGGGACCAAACCTAGAGGTTTTCCTATTTAGAGGAGATGGGGGGGGGGGCCCCCTTGGGAAGATTCAATTCTGCTTTTTTTTAAGATCTGTTTATTTATTAGAGAGAGAGAGAGAGAGGTCTTCCATCTGCTGTTTCACTCCCCAAATGACCACAACAGCTGGATCTGGGTCGATCAGGAGTCAGGAGTTTATTCCAGGTCTCCCATGTTGCTGCAGGGACCCCAGGACTTCGACCGTCTTCTAATGCTTTCCCGGGCCATAGCAGAGAGCTGGATCAGAAGTGGAGCAGCCAGGCTTGAACCGGCACCCATATGGGATGCTGGCATTACTGGTGGTGGCTTTACCTACCACAGCACAGGGCCTGCACTGGGAGTTGTTTTGTTTTGTTTGATTATTTATTTGAAAGTCATGAGTTACAGAGAAGAAGAGAGAGCATAAAAGAACTTCCATCCGCTGGCTCACTCTCTAGATGGCCGCAACAGCCAGGGCTGGGCCCAGCTGAAGCCAGATGCCAGGAGATTCATCTAGGTTTCCCATGTGGATGGCAAGGGACCAAGAATTTGGGGTCCTTCCTACTACTTTCCCAGGCCATCAGCAGGGAGCTGGATCCTAAGTGGAACAGCTAGGTCACAAACCAGCAACCATATGGTATGCTGGCATCACAGGCTGCAGCTTTATCTTCTGTGCCACACTGCTGGCCCTGGACTTTGGAGTTTTGTTCTGCCTGGAGAAAGAAGCCTTGGAAGTTTTTGACCAGAGGAATCACATAATCTGATCAGTGTTTGAGAGAGCCCCTCTCTTGGGGCAGGCTCTGGGGCATGTAAAGCCATGGCCTGCAATGCTCTCATTCCATATCAGCACTGGTTCTTGTCCTGGCTGCTCTACTTCCAATCCAGTTCCCTGCTAATATGCCTTGGAACGCAGCAGAGGATGGCCCAAGTGCTTGGCCCCTCCACCCACGTGGGATACCTGGATGAAACTCCTGATCATGGCTTTGGCCTGCCTCTCTTTCTCTCTCTGTGTAACTCTGACTTTCAAGTAAATAAAAAGTTAAAAAATTTTAGTATTTGTATAAAGCTTTCATTAATGGCTCATTATCAAGAATAGTATTTATTTATTTTTAAACATTTTATTTATTTGACAGGTAGAGTCACAGACAGTGAGAGAGAGAGAGACAGAGAGAAAGGTCTTCCTTTTCCGTTGGTTCACTCCCCAAATGGCCGCCACGGCTGGAACTGTGCCAATCCAAAGCCAGGAGCCAGGAGCCAGGTGCCTCCTCCTGGTCTCATGCAGGTGCAGGCGCCCAAGCACTTGGGCCATCCTCCACTGCCTTCCTGGGCCACAGCAGAGAGCTGGACTGGAAGAGGAGCAGCCGGGACTAGAACCCGGAGCCCACATGGGATGCTGGCACCACAGGCAGAGGATTAACCAAGTGAGCCATGGAGCCAGCCCTTATTTATTTATTTTTAAAGGGTTATTTGAGAGGCAGTGAGAGGGGTCTTCCCACTTTTGGTTCACTCCAAAAAGGCCTCAATGGCTGGAGCTGGGCTGATCAGGAGCCACGAGCTTCTGGGTCTCCCACGTGAGTTCAGGGGTCCAAGGACCTGGACCATCTTACGCTGCTTTCCCAGGTGCATTAGTAGAGAGCTAGGTAGGAAGTGGAGCAACCGGGACTTGAACTGGTGCCCATAAGGGATTTTTGGGGGCTGGTGCCGTGGCTCACTTGGTTAATCCTCCACCTGCAGCACCGGCATCCCATATGGGCACCGGGTTCTAGTCCCAGTTGCTCCTCTTCCAGTCCAGCCCTCTGCTGTGGCCCGGGAGGGCGGTGGAGGATGGCCCAAGTGCTTGGGCGCCTGTACTCACCTGAGAGACCAGGAGGAAGCACCTGGCTGCTGGCTGCAGATCGGTGCAGCGCTGGCCGTAGCAGCCGTTAGGGGAGTAAACCAACGGAAGGAAGACCTACCCTCTCCCTCCCCCTCTCCCCCTCTCCCCCTCTCTCCCTCTGCCTGTCTGCCAGTCTAAGGGGGACAAAAATTTGAAAAATTCGGGAAAGTTTACCTGCTGAGCTGCTGTGCCAGCCTGCCAGCTATAAAATATTCAGATAATGTGAAGATAAGGGGAGAAAACTGGAAAACAGGTAGTCGTGAGCTCTAGAACACTAGAGTACTAGATGGACTGGGGACAGGGGGAAAGAGGCTAAGAGGCTGAGAGGACAAGAAAGAGTATAAGGTAAGCCTGTCAACTATTTTGACAGTCTGGGAAAGGAGAGGAAGGATGAATATAGACTTTTTGGGTTTAGAATTTGTTCAGTGAGAAATTTTCAAGGTAGATTTTGTACAAACTTGAATATACATCAAACTCTTAACAGTTTATTTTTAATTAGGTCCAAACTAAATGACATGATAGATGCTATTCCAAAAAGTAAGAAGAACAAAAGATGTCAGTTGCACTCCTTAGATACGCACAAGCCAAAACCTTTGGGGTAAGTAGAATTAAATACCAAGATACTTTGTCATAATTAAGATTATAAATGTTGATCATAATGTTTTAAAAAATGCATTGCTAGTTTTAATTCATTAATTTATTACTGTCTATGACATGGGTCAAATGATTGTGTCTTTGTTCTGTAGGCCTTTCTGCATTGAGACATAGAGGGTCTTAAAATAGATTTGGTTTTAATTTTTTTCCTTATATTAAATATGTTTTAGAGTAAGAGGGTTGAGATATTTGTGTGAATGTTTGTTACTAATATTAAGATTTTCAAAGTAGTGATATCATTCCTTGTATCATAATGTATAAATTATTTTTCTTTCTCATCTCTGTCCATAATACTTTAACAAGAATATTTTAAAAATCTTGAATCATGTATAGCAATGTGTCTTTATGTAACTAATTTGCAGTTTTCTTGTTGGTTAGGTGCTACAGTGTCCAAGGCCAGTGCCAGAATGTGCCCTACAAAATTGCTTGGGGGTGGGGATGGTAAGGAGAAACCATGGAATTTGAAGGGAATTTCTAAGAAGTAACATTTTTTTCCTAAGAGAATGAGATGATATAAAACGATACTTCTGAATTAATTTTAAGTTAATTTTTTGAGCAACTCATTGGTGTCAGGTGGCACCATTGTTATATAGACATTTTCTTCCCTAATAGAAAGACCTGGATGATTAAGTGGTGGTATGTTTATTTCCTAGCAAGCTTGTTTTATTTTTTTTCCTGTATTCTGAAACAAAAAAAAAAACTTATAAAAATTTTGCTTTGACTATTTGTCAAACACAGAAAAGTCTAAAGACTATACAAATGGAGAACTGTGTACCTTCACCCAGATTTAGCTGTTACCGATTTACCACATTGATTTCATTTACTACCTTTTTATTTGCTTGAGTATTTTAAAGCAAATCTGAAATGTCATATATTCTACATTTGTCCACATCTCTAAATACAGGGACATTTTCTTTTATAACCTCACTGTCATTATAACACATAACAAGTTTAACTGTAATACTCTAACACCCTGTTCATATTCACATTTCCCTTGTCTCTTTAGTGTCTTTTTACATTGATTGGTTTGAATCAGGATTCAGAGAAGAACCACACATTACATGATTTCTAACTGTAGAAGTATTCTGAAGCCAGTAAAGCTCTATATAGTCTAAAGTAGTTTTCTGAGGATAGTTGTTATTTACATACCTGATTTATCAATATATTCAGAGAATTTTTGACTGTTTCAATGCAAAGTTCAGTGTGATTTTCTTGTTAGAGAACAGCCTATTTACTGAAGGCACAGAATAGTAGTATGGTGTAGTGAGAGCCTGCCTTGTGCTTGTTATGTGAGTTCTTCATTGAGGAGGTAGAACACAGTGGGTACCCAAACGTCTTACATATTTGTACTATTGCTGCCTGCCCTTCCACCTTGGCTCTTAAGTCCATTTTTTGTTTTGTCTTCAGTGATTTTGCCTTGTCCATAGTTACCTATTAAATTGATGGCTGGCTGTGTTTTCGTATCTTTCAACTTAAAAAAGGCAGCAAACCTTCATAGATTTCACAGACTCTTCCTACATCTACAGTCCCACTACAAGGGTAGTCAAATGTTTTAGAAGATTGCTGAGTATGGAATCAGTATGAATGAAGTTATTAGTTTATTTTAAGCAGTGTTGCTTGACGAAGGTAGCTTCAGTTATTCCCACTTGCTATATGGATAGCAGGCCAGTTTACATAATCAGGATTCCTCCAACTTGGCTGCTCTTTCCACTGTTAACTCCTCATCTCTGCCCTTTTTTGTTTAAGTTTTCTTCAGGTAAAGTATGATACAGTAGATTAGTTTTCTGCCTAATAAATACCAGCAGTCCAGGTCACCCTTTTTGGGAGTTTTCTCATATCCACCTGTAAAACGAGGTTATTGTCTTGTCTGGGAGTAAATTTGAGGTCCAACGGAAAGGTCTACACCAAGGTTGTAGGATTGGAGCTGATAATACCGGATTGTTTTAGAGAATAATATATAAGATCAGCTAAAGAGAAAGAGTAAAAAGAGGAGTGTTCAAATTAATGGTGGAAAAGAAGCCAGGAAAGACACTTGAGAAAGAGAGGCCAGGTAGGTAGGAAGAAGCAGAAGTACAGTTGTGTTCCGAGGTGGTCTGATCAGCAATGTTGATGTTGCTGAGTCATTGAGGACTCAAAAGTGAACATTGGGTTTGGCAACACTGTGATACTTGGTTATCTCCATGAGCAGAGCTAGTGGTTGAGTTAAAACAGAATCCTGATTGGTGTGGATCGGAAAGTATGCGTTGTAACGTTGTAATGGGTTAAGCTGTGAAAGGAAAGTACTGGAATAGAACAAGGAAATAGAAAGGCTACTTTTTCCCAATGCTTGATTTCATAGGAGTTTCACAAAATCATAGGGTTTAGAAGGGTAATGGATAAAAGACTGATTTGAGCTGTAAAACTTGCTTATACAGCTTATTTTTACAATAATACATTGATATTTGAATGATAATCATTCCTCCGTTCTGATTTCTCGTTAGGAACCTTTTCCTTAGTTATAAGAACTTGAGTTTGAGAGTTAATTCAGCTCTATTAGAAATAAGAGGAGAGCCGAATACTAGCTCTACTAGTTAATTGAGCATTACTAGAAACAGGAAATATGCAAGTTGAGAGGAGAAGGCTATAAAATGGAAGGTAGAGCAGGAGTAGAGGTTTTCGTTGTCAAAAATAAGGGAAGTTAAAGCTTGAGCCAAGCTGTTTTGAGAGAGAATAGGGTGCTGAATTGTATGTGTGACCTTGTATGTTGAGCAGGAGATTGATAATGTACCTACTGGGCTATACAGGGTAGGTTAAGTAAAGATTTGCAGATTTTTTTCATCTTAAGCCATCCGAGATAATGAATTTCTAGGACTGTAGTGAGACCTGCAGAAGATGAGGCAGGAGCCAGTTGTTGAGAATCATGAAAAATCAAGATGACTCATTGAAAGGAATATGGACACACATTTCTCTTGGAATGCACAACTGCAACAGAACAAAATGTATGACCAGAACCACACTGAAACCTGTAGGGGAGGGAGAGTCGGGGAAATTTTTAGTAAGTTTAAAAAAAGTTATTTGTATAGTACTTAATTATTAACGTAGGCTATGTAAAGTATTCATAGTAGTGTGCTGTCTTCATTTTAGTATATGTAAATGTGATTTACTATAACTAGATTAATCTGTTATTTTCTCAGCTACTTATAAATCTGAAGGTAGATAATTTTGTTGCCTTGGACTAGCTGTAATCAGAGTGATTTTTTAAAAAAAAACTTAATGATCATACTAAGTCAATCAAAACCTCTTAGAATTTTGGTATGTTTAAGATTGTGTTTATAGGTGAAAATACTTTGTAACTTTTTTTAGTGTTTTGACTTTAGAACAACATGCCAACTGTATTTATTCATAAAATGCTTATAGTATATTAGCTTATTGCTATCTAGATAACTATAAATGTTATTAAGTTTTATCAGGTAAATTTGATAGTTAAGTAAAATTTTTATGTAAAGATGTAGCACATGTGTAAATAACATTTTAATATTATGTAATAATTAAATTTTTGTACACTAATCTTACTGCTATCTTAATGTATTAAAGAATTGATTATTTTAATTTAGATTGTAGAAATTATTCCTTCAGATTATCTCAGTGTCACTAAGTTTTGTACCATACTGTGCTACAGTGAAGGGAGCAGTAGCAGTGTCAGTTCAGAGAAGTTAAGTACAGATAAGAGAAGTAGTGAAGACCACAGGAAGGACAGCAAGTGTAGGATCATTTTCCATTATGGACCTTTCCAGGGAACGGCCAGGTAAAATCAAGCAATCCTTTATTCTTGCTTTTTTAAATGTTTTATTCTTTTATATTTCTCCTTTTCACTAATACTTACTCTTCCTACAGAGGTTGTTGGATGGATGTGTGGGAACTAATGTCCCAGGAATGCAGAGATGAAGTAGTTTTAATTGACTCTAGTTGTCTTCTAGAAACTCTAGAAACATATCTGCGGAAACACAGGTAAGTCTAAATGCCATTACAGTATAGTGTGGAAGTTGGTTTAGCTGTCAGTCATCCAGAGTGGCCTGTTTCTGATCTCCTTTACGTAACAGTATTCTAACCTCTCCATTATTACCTGTTACTAGGCAGAGCTTAATGTTAGCATAGGCTGTTCCTTCATGGAATGACTCTCAGTATTAATTTTCTTGGGTTAAGCCAGCATCTCCTTTTTTTTGTAGTTTTTACCTGATGGTTACAGACTATCATTTCAAGAAACGGAGTGACTGAATTGAATAAAGTGTATTTCATCACTTTGGAAACTCTGGTACTCCTTGTTTTTTTGATAGAATCATTTGATGATGGTGTTCTCAAAGTTAAAGTTAAAATAGCAGTTTTTCACTTAGTATTTTGAAGTATTCTTTTATAATTGTCAAGATCTGTAGAGTTGGAATGTATGTGCTTCATATACTATAAAAGTAACTTCAGATTTTTCTTTTTAGAATACTACTTTTACAAAGGAATTTTCTAATTGTCATTAACATTTGGAAATTCGTAGGGAGGGAGAGTGCAGTAGGAAAGGAAACTGGTAAGGGAGCCATCTAGAGATGGCATTCTTGGGGGGAGTTCTGTTATAAGTATGTCACATGTTGGGTTTGTGATTATGTGTTCTTTGACCTTGGTACAGTTTTACTTTGGGGACATTTCTCAAAAACTTAGGAGAATGATAAAAACTATTGTTACCAATATTGGTATTCATTTTATATGGCAATGAGCTGATAACTTATAACTATTAGGTGTTTTTCATTTTTCAGTTACAAACTTCATTTGCCTTTTTGGTTGATAGTAGAGAATATGTCAGTTATTTGAAGTTTTAGGAGTGATGTTAATACTAATCAAAGCTAATGTTTTGCTATGTTTTGTAATGGTTATAGATATTATGTTTCAGGACAGTGTTTTACATATTTTTTTAAAGATTTGATTTATTTATTTGAAAGGCTGTATTAGAGAGAAAGACAAAGAGATATTGCATCCTCTGGTTTACTCCCCAAATGGCCACAATAGCTGGGGCTGAGCCAGGCCAAAGTCAGGATCCTGGAACTCTGTTTGGGTCTTCCACGTGGGTTCAGGGACCCAAGGACTTGGGCCATCTTCTACTGTTTTCACAGGCCATAGCAGAGAGCTGGATAAGAAATGGAACACCTGGGACTCAAACCAGCATCCATATGGGATGCCAGCACTGCAGGCCGTGGCTTTAACCACTGTGCCACAGCCCTGGCCCCTAAAGATTTATTTTATTTATTTGAAAGGCAGAGTTACACAGAGAGAGGGAGGTCTTCCATCTGCTGGTTCACTCCCCAGACGGTTCCAACGGTCAGAACTGGGTCAGGAGCCAGAAGCTTCTTCCAGGTCTCCCACATGGGTGGAGGGGCCCCAGCACTTGAGTCATCCTCTGCTGCTTTCCCAGACACATTAGTAGGGAGTTAATTTGGAAGTGGAGCAGCCAGTTCTTGAAGCTGGCCATAGCAGAGAGCTGGATCAGAAATGGAACACCTGGGACTCAAACCAGCGTCCATATGGGATGCCAGCTTTAAAGGCAGTGGCTTTACTGGCTATGCCACATTTCTGGCCCCAGACTTTCCTTTTAAAAAAAAAAAAAATTATTTGGAAAGCTGAGAGTTACAGAGAGAAAGGGAGAGAGAAAACGCAAGATCTTTGTCTGCTGATTCACTCCCCAGATGGCTGGCTGTATGAGCTGGGACTGGACCAGACTGAAGCCTGGAGCCAAGAGCTTCATCCGTGTCTCCCACATGAATGCAGGGACCCAAGCTCTTGAGCCATTGTTTGCTGCTTTCCAAGGCACATTAGCAGCGAGCTAGATCAGAAATGGAGCAACTGAGACTCAAACCAATTCTCATATGGGATGCCAGCACTGCAGGCAGCCATTTAACCTGCTGTGCAACAGTGCTTTCCTGTTATTTCTAGTGCCCATTTTTTCTTCCCCTAAAAGAGAGACTTTTCCTTAGTATTATTTTTTGTTGTGATAAAAGAACAAAAAGTATACCTTTGCCCTCTTTTTTTAATTATTTATTTGAAAGAGGGTGAGACAGAAGTTTCTTACGTGTTTGTTTAGCTTTCCAAATGCCCCCTATAGCCAGGGCTGAGCTGAGCCAGTCCCATGCCAGGAGCTGGTAACTCAACCTAGGTTTCCCATGTGGTTCGTAGGAACTCAAGTATTTGAGCCATCACTTGCTGCCTCACAGGGTGTGCATTCCCAGGAAGCTGGAATAGGGAGCAAGGCTAGCACTCAAACCCAGGCATTCCAGAAGGGGAATTGGCATCTTAAGCAGCATTTTAATTCCTACACCAAACCCCTGCCCCTTAATTTTTAAAAAATATTTATTTGAAAGGCAGAGCAAGAAGGAGAATCAGATCTGTCATGTGCTAGTTCACTCCCCAAATGGCCACAACAGCCAAGTCTGGGCCAGACTGAAAACAGGAGTCAGGAACTCCATCTAGGTCTCCCACATGGGTGGCAGGAACCCAAGGACTTAGGCTATCACCTGCGGCTTCTTAGATCCATTAATAGGGAGCTGGATCAGAAGTGGACTCCATCCCAGGCACTTTGATATGAGATGCAGGTGTCCCAAGTGTTTGCTTAACCCAGTGAACCAAAACATTAACCCCATGATTATTTTAGATACATCATATTGGTGGATATAGTATTGGAATTTTTGCAGTGGCTTATTTTGTTTGGCAAGATGTAACCCAAGGTTCATTTATGATGTAACATACAACAGGATTTCTGTTTTTTAAAGCTGAAAAATGTCCTGTTATGTGTTTGTATATCACATTTCCTGGTAGTTTTATTTTTGCTGTGAGAATCTTCCATACCAGTTTCTATAGCTGTACCATTTGACATTCCCACCAGCAGTGTGGAATGTTCTAATTTCTCTACATCTTTGCCAATGCTTGTTATTTTCTGTTTTGATAGTGGCTGTCCTAACAGAGAGGAGGTGATGTCTCGTGGTTTTGATGTGTGTTTCTGTGATTACTGATGTTGAGCATCTTTTCATATGTTTGTTGCCTATTTTCTATATCATAAAGTTTTCCTCTAGGAGTCCTATAGTTTCATGTATTAACATTTAGGTCTTTAGTTGATTTCGAGTTAATTTTTATTTCTGTGTATATTAGTTTTTTATATTTAGAGGCAGAGAAAGAAAATTCAGATTTGCTGGTTCACTTCCAAGATGCCCACGATAGCTGGGATGGATCAGGTTGAATCGGAAGCTAGAAACTCAGTCTGGGTCTGCAATGTGGGTGGCTGGGATCCAGTATTGGGCCATGATCTGTTGCTTCCAGGGTACACATGAGCAGGGAGTTTGAATTGGAGTCAGAGCTTGATGGTAATTTTGCACAACTCTTGTAGTACTCCTGTCCCTTAAAGGTCAGATGTGCAGTTTCCTGCCTGTGGTGTTGAACACTCAAAAAGTTTGGGGTTTTGGAGCACTTTGGATTTCATATTTTCATAGTAGGAATGTTTAACCTACGTTGTGAGTCTGGTATTTCACCAGATCAAGTTCTTCCTTGTTTCAGGAGTTCAAAGATACTGAAACTGTATTTTTTTTCTTTGTGGTTAATTTTTGGTTTCTAAAAGAACATTTTTTCTTCTTGTGCATTCACATGCTCTCTATTTTTGCCTCAAGATATACAGTTTACTTTATATCTATTTCTCTGTGTGTTACCTATATTTTGTTTGTGTGTTGAGAAATAGAAAAATGTTTTGGAAGACTTTCATGTTTTGGGAATTATCAGTAAATTTAAAAATATATATTTTTTAAATTCTAAGCACAAGAGGAAAGTGGTGTGATGAAATTTGTTTTTAAAAGCAGGCAGACTTTTTTTTTTCCCCAAAGATTTATTTATTTGAGAGGCAGAGTTAGAGAGAGAGAGAGAGAGAGAGAGGTCTTCCACTGGTTCACTCCAAATGTCAGCAGTGGCCAGAGTTGGGCCGATCTAGAGCCAAGAGCTTCTTCTCAGTCTCCCGCACTGGTGCAGGGGCCCAGGCACTTGAGCCATTTTCCACTCCTTTCCCAGGTAGTTAACAGAGAGCTAGATGGGAAGTGGAGCAGCTGGGACTCGAACTGGTGCCCATATGGTATGCCAATGCTACAGGTGAGGCTTAACCTACTATGCCACAGCACTGGCCTCCAGACATATTTTTTTTTAAAGATTTATTTTTATTCACTTGAAAGGCAGTTAAAGAGAGAGAGAGAGCGGAGAAGGAGAGAGAGATTTTCCATCCTTTGGTTCACTTCCCAAACGGCCGCAGTGGCTGGGCCAGGCTGAAGTCTGGAACCAGCAGCTCTCTTTCAGTCAGTGTGCTTCTGTGGTTTAAAAAGCATTTGCAAATGTACGTGTATCTGTATTCACATACTGCCTAAATTTGTATTTATGTTAAATTTATATGTTTTTAATGTGTATATGGAGGTTTTTAAAAAATGCCATAGGTGGGAGGGGCATGCCGTCATCTAAAGCACTGTTGTATATAGCCAGTTCTTTAATTTTCAGGTTTTTCTTTTCAACAGGTTTTGCACTGACTGCAAAAATAAAGTTCTCCGAGCATACAATATCCTTATTGGTGAACTTGATTGCAGCAAGGAAAAGGGCTACTGTGCTGCACTTTATGAAGGCTTGCGGTGCTGTCCACATGAGCGACACATACATGTTTGCTGCGAAACAGACTTCATTGCACATCTTCTGGGTCGGGCCGAGCCAGAGTTCGCAGGAGGGTATGAGTATGTAGTTTGCTAGAATGGGCTATCTAGCGCTTTGCTTCATTTTATTACTGAAAGTTTATTTCCATTACCACCTGCATCACTACATTTGACATACATATAAATTAAGGTATGCTGGTAAATATTTTGCTTTTATTTTAAGATAAGCATTTAATTGAGTGAAAATAAGAAGCAACTATTTTTGGGTGTTTGGTTTAGTCCTCTGTTCCTTCTTGCTTGAAGGGAGGCAAGCTTTTTTTGGCATTCATTATTACAGATTATCATTTTCACTTGAAAATGATTAAAAGGGCTTTTTTCCATCTATCTGTGCCTTATTTACATTTTATTCACACCAGTGTTTTTTGCATAGAAGTTAGGTTTTCACAGCATGGGATTTAGAAATGCTTTATTTATTGTAATTCATGAACTGTAAATTATGAAAGAACCTAAAATGTCACCTGTGGCATGGTTGTGAAAATAAAATCAGAAAAAGTTGTTCACAGAATAAAACACCCTGTTACCTTGCATTTGAGTACCTGCTTTCTGACCAGCATTTTAAAATACAAAAACCACTTCCCTTATTGGAGTTCTGTGAACACTTTGCAAAGACTGGCCTGAAAGCTTTTGTCTGTGACGGAATCATTTTGGCTTTGCCTTTTTCCATTTCCTGTCAAAACAAACAAACCAAACAAGAAATTAAATAGGCATTTTGCGATAACTGGAAGATGAAAGAAATTACTAGGAGCTGGACCCATACAGGAGTTCATTCTCTGTGCCCTAAAGCTAATCTTTTTAGACCCAGTTCCTGAATTACTTATTTTTAGCAGTATTAGGTCTAAATTCTACTTGCATGTGTATTCCTCATTGGTTATATATGTGTGTGCATGGCGCATATATATATATATATATATAATATATATTATGTTTAAATTGGGTGTCAGTGTAGTAACTGTCATGAAGTTACTATAGGTGATGAGAATATTTAAAATCGGAACTTATAGATAGATGTGTTGCACATCTTTTACTGTTTTCACTTAAGGATATTAGGAATTAATGTGTGATTTATTCTCCTTAAAGGCGAAGAGAAAGGCATGCTAAGACAATAGATATAGCTCAAGAAGAAGTTCTGACCTGCTTGGGAATTCATCTTTATGAAAGACTGCATCGAATCTGGCAAAAGCTACGGGCAGAAGAGCAGACATGGCAGATGCTTTTCTATCTTGGTGTTGATGCTTTACGCAAGAGTTTTGAGGTAGGAGCGCTGGACTGTTTTAGTTATCAAGATTGCCTCTCAGGGGCCAGTGTTGTGATGTAGTGGGTAAAACCTCATCTGTGATGCCAGAATCCCATATGGGTGCAAATTTGGTTCTCGGCAGCTCTACTTCCCATCCAGCTCCCTGCCAATGGCCTGGGAGAGCGGCAGAAGATAGCACAAGTGCTTGGGCCCCTATGCCCATGTGGGAGACACAGAAGAAATTCCTGGCTCCTGGTTTCAGCCTGGGCCACCCTTGGCTGTTGGAGCCATCTGAGGAATGAACTGGCATATGAAAGATGTGTGTGTGTGTGTAAATAAATCTTTAAAAATAAAAATTATTCTCAGATGTGTGCCCTGGAAGGCACAAGTACTTGAGTCCCTGTCACCCACAAGGGAGAATTGGGTTGTGTTCTGGGTCCCTGGTTTTAGCTAGCCCAGACCTGGCTGTTGAGGTATTGGAGGAATGAACCAGCAGATGGAAAATCTCTGTCTGTCTATACTTTTCTTTTTTTTTTTAAAGATTTATTTGAAAATCTTAGAGTTACACAAAGAGGAGGAGAGCCAGAGACAGAGAGGAGTCTTCCATCTGCTAGTTCACTCCCCAATTGGCTGTAATGGCTGGAGCTGCGCCAATCCAAAGCCAGGAGCCAAGAGCTTCTTCCTGGTCTCCACGCAGGTGCAGGGGCCCAAAGACTTGGGTCATCTCCTACTGCTTTCCCACGCCATAGCAGAGAGCTGGATCAGAAGTGGAGCAGCTGGGACATGAACCAGCACTCATGTGGGATGCCCACTTTGCAGGCAGTGACTTTATCCACTGCACCACAGTGCTGGTCCCTATACTTCTCAACTAAAAATGAAAATAAATAAATGTGTAGATTGCTTGGTTAAGTTATTGGACTGAATGTTTTTTTTTTATTTGAGATTTAAAAGTATTTATTAGAATCAAGGACCTTCAGCCAGAGTGACGTGGAGGGGGACATCCCTGGACTGAGTCTTTTTTTTTTTTTTTTTTTTTTTTTAAGATGTATATATTTATTTGAAAGTCAAAGTTACACAGAGAGAGAGGAGAGGCAGAGAGAGAGGTCTTCTGTCCGCTAGTTCACTCCCCAGATGGCTGCAACGGCCGGAGCTACGCCAATCCGAAGCCAGCAGCTTCTTCTGGGTCTCCCACGCAGGTGCAGGGGCTCAAGGACCTGGGCCATCTTCTACTGCTTTCCCAGGCCATAGCAGAGAGCTGGATTGGAAGTGGAGCGGCTGAGTCTCAAACTAGTGCCCATATGGGATGCCAGCGCTTCAGGCCAGAGGGTTAACCCACTGCACCAAAGCGCCGGCCCCAGGACCAAGTCTTAATATAAGCCATGAGTTCCTGAGTAGGCTGTGATCTATTAATGTAGATTCATGACTTTGTATAGAGTTACAGGAAACAGAGATTTAGAAGTTTGTGGATTTTTTTTTATTTTATTTATTTATTTATTTTTTGTTTAAATCTTGTTATTCTCCAGCCTTGGTTTTTAGAGATTTTCAGAGTAGAAAGCAAGTTGTTGATTAAAAAGATGCTGCTCATGGCAGGCATTTTAGCACAGTGGTTGAGTCGCTACTTGGGATGCCTACATGCCAAATATTGGAGTGCCTGGTTTGAGTCTCGGCTCCTCCATTTCCAATCCAGCTTCTTGCTGATGTTCACCTTCATAGGCATCAGGTAATTAATTGCTCAAGTACTTAGATCCCTTCCCTTCCACCCACATGGAAGACTCAGATTAAGCTCCAAGTTCCTGGTCTTGGCCTGATGCAGCCCTGGCTGTTAGACACATTTGGGGATTGAACCAGTGGCTGGAAGATCACTCTGGTTTGTGTGTGTGTGCGTCTGTGTCTTTCTGTCTGCCTTTCACATAAAATGGAAAAAAGGAGAAATATGCTTCATGAAACATATTTCATGACAGTTAAAAACAACCAGAAAATAAGCCTCAAAATTAGAAGACTTTAATGATTCTTTATCTGCCAATATCCAGTAGTATGAAGTAAATGCTCTTTGTATGCCATAGAACAGGTTTTTAGAAGCACATTGAAGGGGCCGGTGTTGTGGCATAGTAGTTTAAGCTGCTGCCTGGGATGCCAGCATCCCATATGGGCACTTGGTTGTATCCTGGCTGCTCCACTTCCAATCCAATTCCCTGTTAATGGCCTGGAAAAAGCAGCCAAGAATCTGGTCCCCTGTCACCTACTTGGGAGACGTGGATAAAGTGCCTGGCTTCTGCCTGGCCCGGTGTTGGCCATTGTGGCCATCTAGGTAATAAACTAGCAGATGGAACATCTCTCTTTCGGTCTCTGACTCTTTCAAAATAAACCTTTTTAAGAAGCACATTGAAGGCTGTTTATAATGCTAATGCTGGTTTTAGTGCTTGTGTTATATTGTATAGATATTTGGCTAGAGAATATTTTCTATATAACAAGGCATGATTGTATACCTTTAATTGGCCTCCATTTGAGAATGGATTGAAAGCTGTTTCTATAACCTCATCAATGAACTTTGAGCTCACCGTTGTAGGGAGTCTGAGGAGATTTGTATTAGTTCTTCATGAACGGGTATCTCCTTTTCTCTTTGTGCCTTCAAAGATTAGGTCACCTAATCAGGTTAAATATTCTTCATCATTATATGATGAATGAATTTTTTTTTTTTTGATAGGCAGAGTGGACAGTGAGAGAGACAGAGAGAAAAGTCTTCCTTTTGCTGTTGGTTCACCCTCCAGTGGCCGCCACAGCTGGCGTGCTGTGGCCAGCGCACCACCACGCTGATCCAAAGGCAGGAGCCAGGTGCTTCTCCTGGTCTCCCACAGGGTGCAGGGCCCAAGCACCTGGGCCATCCTCCACTGCACTCCCTGGCCACAGCAGAGAGCTGGCCTGGAAGAGGGGCAACCGGGACAGAATCCGGCGCCCCGACCGGGACTAGAACCCGGTGTGCCGGCGCCGCTAGGTAGAGGATTAGCCTAGTGAGCCGCGGCGCCGGCTACTGAATGAATGTTTATTTTAAATTCTAGGGTTTTTGTTTTGTTTTGTTTTGTTTTGTTTGTTTTTTTTGCAAGGCAGAATTAGAAAGAGAGAGAGTTGTTACAGACAGTGAGAGAGAGACAGAAAGGTCTTCCTTCCGTTGGTTCACTCCCTTAGTGGCTGCTACAGCCGACGCTACGCCACTCTGAAGCCAGGAACCGGGTACTTCCTTCTGGTCTCCCATGCGGGTGCAGGGACCCAAGCACTTTGGGCCATCCTCCACTGTCCTCCCAGGCCACAGCAGAGAGCTGGACTGGATGAGGAGTAACCGGAACTAGTACCTGGCACCCCAACTGGGACTAGAACCCGGGGTGCCGGTGCCGCAGGTGGAGGATTAGCCAAGTGAGCCACGGTGCTGGCCTAAAATTCTAATTTTAAAACTAGAATGTTGCTAGTTTGGATTAGGGGCACATATAAGTATGTGTGTCCTATAGAGATTAGTTGTACTCAATATATATTGACTTTCTGGTATATTTTTAATACTGTATCATTTAATATATTAAAACTTAAACTCTGGCTTCTCTGACAAAATTGTAAGTTTGACAAATGAGCATTTCTATGGAAAAATTAATTAAGTTTGGATGAGTAGTCACTCTGGGTTTTTTTTATAGATGACTGTGGAAAAAGTACAGGGTATTAGCCGACTGGAACAACTTTGTGAAGAATTTTCAGAGGAGGAACGAGTAAGAGAACTCAAGCAAGAGAAGAAACGCCAGAAACGAAAGAACAGACGGAAAAATAAGTGTGTGTGTGATATTCCTACTCCCTTACAAACAGCAGATGAAAAGGAAGTAAGCCAAGAGAAGGTAGTATTCCTTAATAACAACTCATAAATGTGTTGCTTTAGATGGAAATATTTCTTTTTGCTACATTTGGATGTTTTTACTTTGCTTTTCCAGATATGAACTTCTACTGTTTATATATTGGCTTTTTTCCCACTATAAATTGCATAAGCCAGGATTTTTAATGTTATGTATTTGCTTTAGTAAAGGACATGCTGGGTAGTTATCTGACCTACTATTAGATCAAAGTCAAAATGTGGAAAGTTAAGTTCTGTGTGTGACCTAAACATTTGCATCAGGATTTCTTTATGTTCCTAAAAATTACAGTGTCCAATGAACTTTTATTTGGGTTATACTTCCTAATAAGTATTATATTACAAATTAAGATGGAGGGGCCAGCACTGTGGTGCAGTGGGTTATAGCCCTGGCCTGAAGCGCTGGCATCCCACATGGGCTCCGGTTCTAGTCCCAGCTGCTCCTCTTCTGATCCAGCTCTCTGCTGTGGCCTGGGAAAGCAGTAGAAGATGGCCCAGGTGCTTGGGCCCCTGCACCCGCATGGGAGATCAGAAAGAATCTCCTGGCTTCTGGCTTCGGATCAGTGCAACTCTGGCCGTTGCGGCCATCTAGTTAGTGAACTAGCGGATAAAAGACCTCTCTCTCTGTCTCTACCTCTCTGTAACTCTGTCTTTCAAATAAATAAAATAAATCTTTAAAAAGAAAAGATCAATTAAGATGGAGAATTTTTTTTAAGATTATTTATTTGAGACAGATACACAGAGAGAGGAAGAGACAGAGAGAGAGATCTTCCATCCGCTGGTTCACTCCCCAAATAACTGCAATGGCTGGGCCTGGGCCAGGCTGAAGCCAGGATTCAGGAGCTTCTTCTGGGTCTCCCATGTGGGTTCAAGGACCCAAACAGCTGAGTCATCTTCTGCTGCTGTCCCAAGCACATTAGCAGAGAGCTGGATCAGAAGTAGAACAGCTGGGTCTCAAACTGGCACCCATATATGCCAGCATCACAGGTGGTGGCTTTACCTGCTACAACACAATGCTGACTTCAAGAAATGTTTTTTAAAAAAGATTTTATTTTCTTGAAAGGCAAAGTTACAGAGAAGGAGAAGGAGAGACAAAGAGTGTTCTGTGCCGGTTCACTCCTAAAATGGCTGTAACATCTAGGGTTGGGCTATACTGAAGCCAGGAGTTTCTTCCAGGTCTTCCACATGGGTGCAGGGGGCCAAGCACCTGGGCCATGGTCTACTGCTTTCCTAGGCTTTAGCAGGGAGCTGGATAAGAAGTGGAGCGGCCAGGACTTGAACTGGCTCTCATATGGGATACTGATGTCTCGGGTGGTGGCTTTACCTGATATGCCACAGTGTGGGCCCTGAAGAAACTTTGGAAAAATAAAGCCATATGAGTAAGCATTTTTTGAAAGGTAATTTTTAAAAAGTTAGAATGGTAATATTCTGTGCTTTTGCAAATATCTAATACATGATTTAAAAGGAGTCAGATTTCTTCTAACAGTAACCTTATCATTGGTTTCTTAAATCTGTTTCTGGCTCGTGCCGCGGCTCACTAGGCTAATCCTCCGCCTTGCAGCGCTGGCACACCGGGTTCTAGTCCTGGTCGTGGCACTGGATTCTGTCCCGGTTGCCCCTCTTCCAGGCCAGCTCTCTCGTGGCCAGGGAGTGCAGTGGAGAATGGCCCAAGTGTTTGGGCCCTGCACCCCATGGGAGACCAGGAGAAGCACCTGGCTCCTGGCTTCGGATCAGCGCGGTGCACCAGCCGCGGCGGCCATTGGAGGGTGAACCAACGGCAAAAGGAAGACCTTTCTCTCTGTCTTTCTCTCTCACTGTCCACTCTGCCTGTCCAAAAAAAAAAAAAAAAATCTGTTTCTGCATTCAGTTGCTTTCTGTTTATTAGCTTGACTGAAGCATATGAAGAGTTTGTTCTCACACATACATGGAAGAAGGAAGGAGTATTTTTTTAAGGTTTATTTATTTTAAAGTCAGAGTTAGAGAGAGAGAGAGAAAGAGGTCCTTTCTCTAGTTCTGCTAGTTCACTGCCCAGATGGCTGTAATCAGTGGAGCTGCGCTGGTCCGAAGTCAGAAACCAGGAGCTTATTCTGGGTCTCCCACGAAGGTGCAGGGGCCCAAGGACTTGGGGCCATCTTCTACTGCTTTCTCAGGCCATAGCATAGAGCTGGATTGGAAGTGGAGCAGCCAGGACTCAAATCGGCACCCATATGGATGCCGGCACTACAGGCAGCAGCTTTACCTGCTACGCCATAGTGCTAACCCCAGGAGTATTTTAACATAAACCTTTTCAGATAGTATGGATATTCTCTAATACCACAGCAAGTGGTAGTTTCTGAAAGGTTAATTTCAGTGTCAAATCTGAGACTTATTGGTGGCCTTTTCATATTTTGTTAAGTTAGAATCCATTGGACTATATTGCGTGTTGAATAGATGTTTTACTCATGCATGATTTTGTAACACCATGCATTGGAATTTGTTTGAAAAATACTGGCTCACTGAATTATGTAGGTCTTTCAGATGTTGACCTTCATTATGTAATATCAGATAATCACTGTTAATCAGTAGTGATTGGAAGTGATTAGGAAGCTCTGGGTTCCACATGCCATATGCAGCTTTTTTTCCCCCAGTTTAAAATTTTAATTCATTAACTTGAAAGATGAACACAATGTCTATTTCAAATCTTACTAAACCTGTTTGAAACATGTTTACATAGAGGACAAAGGAAAATAGGATTTCAAGTAACTTATAGTGTAGTCCATTATCCATTTAAAACTGTTCTTTTTTCTACAAAAAATCTTCACTGAAGGACAAAACAAATTCTTTCTTGTATACTGTGTAAAAACTAGGTACAGACTTAACGATGTATGTTTATTTCACCATCATGTCTGATGATGAAGGTGGAGGCACTGATGTTCACAGTTCAGTTCAATGAGGCAGGCAAAAAACTTGTTCCCTGCAGTACACATTAGAAGCTCCCACTCATGGTCCCTGCAGTGGCATCACATACTCAAACTCAGACCAGGTCACTTCTTTCCTTTTCCTTTTTCACTCTGTCTCCTTGTTGAAGACTTGGATCCCCAGCTCCTGCTTTTTGAATCCTTGTTTTCAGTTTAGGTATCATTTCTGCTGCATACAGCATTACGGACTTAGTGGTGGGAACTGCACAACAGAGAGGCTGCCATCTTCCTGTTTGAGCTGGACCCAGACTCTGCCTCTGAATTGAACGTCACGATTCCATTCTCTAGAGTACATTTTATTTTTCTCAAGAAATACATTAAATCCAACAGCTGAGCATACATCTTGAATCTCTGTAGCTGTAGGATTTCAACAGCCTTACCCATGGGTAACCCTCCGCGATGGTCTTACTGTTTAAGTACGCAGGGTAGATGCAGATAAACCTGTCCTGCTCAGCTGGGGACTGTGTGGCATTGCAGGCCACCTCCACAAAAACACATGCACTGCGGCTCCGTGAGAAGCACCGCAGGTTTTCAGAATTCTGATTGTTTCACAGTTGAAATTTTATCATTGACATCAAGAATTGTTCATTGTTTTCCTTAAAGTGACAGACTGACTTAATTCATTTTTCATAAAATACTATGTAGGTATCCATGTTGGAGTAATCATAGTTTGTTTCTCAGTCATTCTTACAAGTGAAATTGATAGTACAAAAACAAAGCAGCTAGTTCGGCTTGCAGCTCAGTTATGCAAGTACTTTTCTGTGAGAGAGCTGTTGTACTGTGGAATACAGAAGTGCTTTAAGTGAAAAGATGTCTATTCATGATTGATACCTAACAAAATTAATATTTTTACAGTTAGAGGCATTCCTAAGTAAAATATCCTTTTATTTATTTTTGCTAGAAGTGCTCTAAGTGAAGAATACAATGATTATTGGTACTCTTTGGTTCCTACTACTTTGATTTGTGCCAAGGCATCATCAGCTTTACTCACCATTGCTTTTTTACTATCAGCCTAAGGGATACTACAGTGAAAGGGCAAATACCATCTTTTTTTATTTTTTTAAAGATTTATTTATTTATTTGAAGGCAGAGAGAAGTACAGAGAGATAGATAGAGAGAGGAAGGGAGGGAGGGAGGGAGAGAGAGAGAGCTCTTCCATCCACTGGTTCCCTCCCCAGATAGCTGGAGCTGGGCCGATCCAAAGCCAGGAGCCAGGAGCTTCTTCGAGATCTCCCACGTAGGTGCAGAGGCCCAAGGACTTGGGCCATCTTTTGCTGCTTTCTCAGGCCATATCAGGGAACCTGGATTGGAAGAGGAGCAGCTGAGACTTGAATGCACATAGGATGCTCACAGTGCAGGTGGTGGCTTTACCTGCTATGCCACAGCCCTGGTCCCCAAATACTTTTTTTTTTTTTTTTTAATTTGACAGGTAGAGATATAGATAGTGAGAAAGAGAGAGACAGAAAGGTCTTCCTTCCGTTGGTTCATCCCTCAAATGGCCGCTACAGCCAGCACTGCGTGAATCCGAAGCCAGGAGCCAGGTGCTTTGTCCTGATCTCCCATGTGGGTGCAGGAGCCCAAGCACCTGGGCCATCTTCCACTGCACTCCCAGGCCACAGCAGAGAGCTAGACTGGAAGAGAAGCAACTGGGACTAGAACCCAGTGCCCATATGGGATGCTGGTGCTGCAGGTGGAGGATTAATCAAGTGAGCCATGGCACCAGCCCCTCAAAATACCATTTTAATATCATGAATTTTTAAAAAAATTTATTTATTTATTTATTTGAAAGAGTTGCAGAGAGAGAGAGAGAGAGATCTTCAATCTGCTGGTTCACTCCCCATTGGCCGCAATGGCTAGAGGTGGGCTGATCTGAGGCCAGGAGCTTCTTTTGGGTCTCCTACCATGGATGCTGGTGCCCAAGGACTTGGGCCATCTTCTACTGCTTTCCCAGGCCATAGCAGAGAGCTGTATCAGAAGTGGAACAGCCAGGTCTCAAACCGGCACCCATATGGGATGCCGGCACTGCATACCAGGGCTTTAACCCATTGCACCACAGCACCAGCCCCTCTAGCTTCCCTGTAATGCACACCCTGGGTGGACAACAGGTGATGACTCAAATAGTTGAGTCCCTGCCAGCCATGTGGGAGACCTGGATTGAGGTCCTGGACCCTGGCTTCAGCTATTGTGGGTATTAGAGGAATGAACTGGCAGATGAGAACTCTGTCCATCTGTCTCTCCTTTTCTTTGACTCTCATGCTAACAAAGAAACAGTTTTGACATAGGGAATGCCTCTCTCTCGGATGAATAGACCATACTTTGGGAACTGCTATCCTAAACCTGCTTGATATAATAAACTTTTAACTCACTTTTAGTTACCTCACAGTCTTGAAGTGGCTTAATGATTTTTCATGAGACTAGTCTTTTAAATTGTTAACTGCATAATTTCTGTCTAATTAATATTAAGGAAATGTAGTCGCTGTGGAGGTGTATGTAAAACTTTTACTCTCTCTTGATATTGGTCCTTAAAGGAAACAGACTTCATAGAAAGTAGCTGCAAAGCCTGTGGCAGCACTGAGGATGGTAATAGTTGCGTAGAAGTAATTGTTACCAATGAAAATACATCATGTACCTGTCCCAGCAGTGGCAATCTTTTGGGGTCCCCTAAAATAAAGAAAGGTATGTAAATAATTTCTTAGTCCGTTCTCTTTTAAATCTAAGAACTTATAGGGATTCTGGAATCTATAATTTGAAAACTGCTTTGTAGCCCCCCAAATACTATGTAATTTAATCAGATGCTTAATGTATGTTCTTTGATTTATTATTTGACAGAAACAATAAACTATAAATCCCTAATATTTTTGTTGTTCAAATTACTTTCTACTCTGTCACTAATTTTGAAAATTTTCTGTGGTCTCCAGTTGGTTCACTCTTTGTCCTAATGTATCTGTTGGTATATTAATTTATACTCTTACCTGATTTATTCTCAGGCTTATCTCCACACTGTAATGGTAGTGATTGTGGATATTCATCTAGCATGGAAGGAAGTGAAACAGGTTCTCGAGAGGGTTCAGATGTTGCCTGCACTGAAGGCATTTGTAATCATGATGAACATGGTAGGTTCAGATTAAGTATCCCAGTGATTTCTGTTGTGTGGCTGATCTAAACATGTAGATAAGGATTATTGATTTCTGCAGGTGATGACTCCTGTGTCCATCACTGTGAAGACAAAGAGGATGACGGTGACAGTTGTGTTGAATGTTGGGCAAATTCTGAAGAGAACAACACAAAAGGAAAAAATAAAAAAAAGAAAAAGAAAAGCAAGATGTTGAAATGTGAGGAACATGTAAGTGTCCTAACTTGTGGTTTTAAACCTTTGCTCTTTATGTGAGGCCAGCCTGTTTTCCTTCAAGTGGCACATGTGTAGCTTAAGCTGCTAGGGTTTATTTTTTGGAATGAATAGTCTGTGTGGTTCCATTGGTTGCTTATCTTGTAATTGTGTGTGGGGTGGGAGGGACAGTGAAGAGGGAGAGGAAGAAGAAGAACAGTCCGTGTAAGTCAGAAATCCAGTTCTTTTCACAGTATTTTTAAATTTATTATGTAACTTTGGGAATTTGTTTAATCTTTTCCTGTTTGTAAACTGGGATAATAGTCCCTCCACGAGAGTGTGGAGATGCAGTCCGTTGGCATTGTAGGTTAGCATAGTGTCACGCATGTAGTGAGTGCCTAGGATGTCTCGGCTGCTGCTATTTAGTATTCCTTCTAAAGATTTCAAGTTGTGTTCTGTCAGAGCTTTCTTTAAAGAATAATCACATTTTCACTGGGAAATCTTTTGCTATGGTTTCAGATCCAAAAGCTTGGAAGCTGTATTACAGATCCTGGTAATCGAGAGAGCTCAGGAAATACTGTGCACACAGTGTTTCACCGTGACAAGACCAAAGATGCACATCCTGAAAGCTGCTGCAGCTCCGAAAAGGGTGGGCAGCCACTGCCTTGGTTTGAGCATAGGAAAAATGTACCCCAGTTTGCAGAACCTGCAGAAACGTCATTTGGTCCTGATTCTGGAAAAGGTGCCAAGAGTTTGGTTGAACTCCTTGTAAGTAGTCTTTGATGTCTTATTGTAGATAATTGTTTACACATAGAATAGAAGAGAATAAAAAGTGAAGTAGTATTTCATTATTTGGTGACTTCATTTCTGCCCTTCCATTCATGGTCCACTCAGAAGCAACTGCTGAGCACATTTCCCTGGCCTCTCTTGTTACCAAGACAGAAGAGACTAGTTGGGAGAAATGATAAGAGGTAGCATTATGTCTAGGAATCTGCTTCCTTGAAGCAAACTTGGCCTTTCTGAGTGGTGATTTATGGTAGTCACCCCTTGAGACCAGGAAAGAATATGGAATCTGAACTCTAGCCTGCTTTTCTAGGTTACTTCCTTTTAGTGTGGTATAGGATAAAGCACAACTGAGCTTGGAGAACCTTTTTTTTTTTAAATATTTATTTTATTTTAAAGAGTTACACAGAGAGAGGCGAGGCAGAGAGACAGAGAGAGGTTCACTCCCCAGTTGGCCGCAACGACTAGAGTTGCACTGATCCAAATCCAAGAGCCAGGAGCCTCCTCCAGGTCTCCCACGTGGATGCAGGGGCCCAAGGCCTTGAGCCATCTTCCACTGCTTTCCCAGGCCATAGCAGAGAGCTGGATCGGAAGTGGAACAGCCGGGACTCGAACAAGTGCCCATATGGGATGCCGGTGGTTCAGGCCAGGGCATTATCTGCTGCACCACAGCACCGGCCTCAAGAGAACCTTTTATAATGACTGCAATTCCTAGGATTTAAATGAATTATCTAAAGTAACACAGTGCGTAGTGTGTGTGTAGCCCTTGTAAGAAAGGGTAGAGAAAAAAGTGGTATTAGAGGTAAGTCTGCTTAAAATAGTAACCCATTATAACCATCGTTAATCAATCATGTTTTAAGGGCAAAGGTATGGGAATACTCTGCTAGGCTCAGGCTTCTAGCATAAATTCTAGATTCAGAGTTTCAAACCCAATTTGAGTTGAGCGTTACTTTCAGTACTTTGTAGATGAATGACATGATGCTTATTCAATTAAAGGCTTTTTGTGATTAAATTTAAACTGAAAAGCTCAAGTGCTTCACTTTTTAGCTGTCCTTCTCCCTAAGTATAGCATTTTTGCATTCTTAATTTAAGACTTAGTCTTAACTACTGTTACTTTAATTTGCAGGATGAATCTGAATGTACTTCAGATGAGGAAATCTTTATCTCACAAGATGAAATACAGTCATTTATGGCTAATAACCAGTCGTTCTACAGCAATAGAGAACAATACCGACAGCATCTGAAGGAGAAATTTAATAAATACTGCCGCTTAAATGATCACAAAAGGCCCATTTGTAGTGGCTGGTTGACAACGGCTGGAGCAAATTAAATAAATAAAATAGCTCTGTCTTTCATTGAAACACTCAAGATGACTACTGCGCCTTCTCTTTCAAAAAACTTAATTTAGTGACTTATGGCAAAATTTTATCTTAAATCAATGTGATTCTTTCTTGTTTTGGGAGACGGTGGAGGTATCCTCATTAGTTTGTTCTTTCTTCAGGCTTGTGTCTTTAGTTGCGTGGCTGCACAGGCCTGCCATATGATTTAAGCCATCTCTTTTCATTCAATGTTTCTCTTCCTGTGAGACTTACTAAAGCAACTTAGTGGCAAAAAGTAATGTTGTACTTATACTTCTGTACAGAAATGACAATGAGCTGAATATATGGTTTTACAAAGTAGACATCCACTTGAGAAATGTTTGGATGTAATGTTAAAGCGCAATGTGCAAAATTTAAAATAAAGAATATTTATTAATACTCATAGTAGAAGTTGGTGTACATGTTTAATATGTGGCAATACTTTAGTATTTGCCTTTTGTGGACTTGGTACTTACTTGACTGAAGTTGATGTTAAGGTAAAGAACAAATGAACATAGAGATGAAGATTGTTGAAGACAAAGTTCCCCCTTGATTAGAATCAACAACCAAGAGAAGTGGTTTCTGTTCTTTTGAAAGAATAAATTTGTTGGGGTATCTTTAAATACATGCTAGCATAATCTTTGTAATGGAACTTTAATTGCTTTTCTCTCTCTCTCTCTCTTTTTTTTTTTTTTTTTTTTTTTTTGGACAGGCAGAGTTAAGACAGTGGGAGAGAGACAGACCGAGAGAAGGGTCTTCTTTCCGTTGGTTCACTCCCCAAATGGCCGCTACAGCTGGCATGCTGCAGCTGGCGCACTGCGCCGATCCAAAGCCAGGAGCCAGGTGCTTCCTCCTGGTCTCCCATGCGGGTGCAGGGCCCAAGCACTTGGGCCATCCTCCACTGCCTTCCCGGGCCACAGCAGAGAGCTGGCCTGGAAGAGGAGCAACTGGGACAGAATCCGGCGCCCCAACCGGGACTAGAACCCGGGGTGTTGGTGCTGCAGGTGGAGGATTAGCCAAGTGAGCCTAATCATGTACCGCAAAGCACCTATTAAATTTAGAGGTTCACATTGTCCTAGAGGAATGAAAACAACAGAATTTGAACCAAGGGTTGTCTGATAGGTAGTTACCCAGTGTATTTAGACTGCAGTCAGTAAGTTGCACTGAGAATTAACCACACTGCGGTCTGTGTAAGCACAGGTTCAGCCTTACCCTGTTTCCAGCAGTCAAGTCCTTATGGCCTGGTGGTTTACTGCTGTCACAAGCTCTTTGTGGGTACAGAAGGAGGGAGATTCCACTAGGAGAGGCTTGCTACCATTTACAAGGTTAAGTCAGTAAACATGTGCTTAGAGTTTTATGTTTGGTGACAGGTGGTGGGACAGGGAAGCCTCAGTGCAGTGGGGACAAAGTGAATTTCAAGAGCTTTCTACCATTTAATCAGATTTCAATTTTTTTAAAAATGTCTTACTTGAAAAGTCATAGAGGGAGCAACAGAGTGACATATTTAATCTACAGGTTGACTCCCTAAGTAGCTGAAATGGCCAGGGCTGGGTTGGACCAAAGCCATGAGCCAGGAGCTTCATTCTGGTCTCCAACGTGGGTGCAGCAGCCCAAGTACTTGGACTATCTTCCTGTGTATTAACAGGGAGCTGCTAGGTTAGAAGTGGAGCAGTTGGAACTCAAACTGGCACCCATATGGGACAATGACTTCGCAGATAGGTTGATTTTTTTTTTTTTTTTTTTTTTTTTTTTTAGATTTATGTATTTGAAAGTGTTAGAGAAGTAGAAACAGAGAGGTCTTCCATCTGCTGGTTCACTCACCAGAAGGCCGCAACGGCCGGAGCTGTGCTGATCCAAAACCAGGAGCCAGGAGCTTCCTCTGGGTCTCACGTGGCAGCCATAGCAGAGAGCTGGATTGGAAGAGGAGCAGCAAGACTAGAACCGGAGCCCATATGGGATGCCGGTGCTTCAGGCCAGGGCTTGAACCTGCTGAGCCACAGCGCCAGCCCCCTCCCTTTTTTTTAAGATTTATTTGAAAGGCAGAGAGAGAATCTTCCATCTGCTGGTTCACTACCCAAGTGGCTGCAATGGCTGGAGTCCACGTAGGTGTAGGACCATCCTCCACTGCTTTCCCAGGTACATTAGGAGGGAGCTGGATTGGAAGTGGAGCAGCCCATATAGGATGCAGGCGGCAGCTTTACCCACTATACCACGACACCAGTCGCATCTACTTTAAGATTTATTTGTTTACTTGAGAGAGTTACAGACAGAGACAGAAAGGGCTTCCATCCACTGGTTCGCTCCCTAAATGGCCACAACAATCGAAGCTGGGCTGATCTGAAGCCAGCAGCTTCTTCCAAATTCCAAGAACTTGGGCCATCTATTGCTCTCCCAGGCCATAGCTTCCACTGCCTTCCCGGGGCCACAGCAGAGAGCTGGCTTGGAAGAGGAGCTACCGGGACTAGAACCTAGGGTGCCAGTGCCGCAGGCAGAGGATTAGCCAAGTGAGCCATGGTGCCAGCCTACTCCACTTATGATCCAGCTTCCTGCTCATGCTTGGGAGGCAGCAGGTGATGGCTCAAGTACTTGAGTCCCTGCCATCCTCACGGGAAACTGATGGAACTCCGGGTTCCTGGCTTCATCTTAGCCCAACTTCTGCCATTGTGGCCATTTGGGGAGTGAACCAGCAAATAGAAGATTCTATCTCTACACCCTACCCTTTCTCTGTAACTCTATTTATCTATTTGAAAGGCAGAGAGAGAGAGAGGTCTTCCATCCCCAAGTAGTTCACTCCTCAAATGGCCGCAATGGCCAGAGCTGCGCCGGTCAGGAGCCAGGAGCTTCTTCCTGGTCTCCCATGTGAATTCAGAGGCCCAAGGACTTGGGCCATCTTCTACAGCTTTCCCAGGCCATAGCAGAGAGCTGGATCCGAAGTGGAGCAGCCAGGATTTGAACCAGTGCCCATATGGGATGTTGGCACTTCCATGCAAGGCATTAACCCGCTGCGCCACAGTGCCAGCCCCTGCCATGAATTTTTTGAAGAACCCTCCTGTTAGTAAGTTTTCAGTACTGTGATAAACTATCTCAAGTGAGAGCAAAGTGAGCTGTACTTGAGTAAAACCCAAGAAGGGAGGGAGGAATGAAGACTCTTAGGAGCACATCCTTGGCCTGAGACTGGACCGTCCTGGGTCCGTGTTTCATCCTTCTGTCTAGTATCCTATCTTTCAAATGAAGGTACTGTTTCCGTCTCATAGGGTGGCTGTGCAGATTAGTTCATGTGGTTAAGGTGCTTAAAAGTGCCATACAGAGTAAGCAGTAAATGTTAGTTCTGCATATCCTGAGACAGCTGAGCCATTTTAGGGACAGAATTCCCCAATACACACGTTTCCGTTTTTAACTATTCGGTTCTTGTCGGCCACTCAGGCAAAAGGATCGGGTAGGGTAAGAGTCCTTTGCAAGGTCACCCAGCAACCATGGCATTCAGTCTTTCCTGGGCACCAGCTGGAGTCACCTTAATTCTCCTTAGTTAATTCCTCATCCCGACCTTAGGAGTCAGGAACAGAAGAGACGGCGTAGGAAGCCCGAGTGTGTGCGTGCCTAGGGGTGCAGCCAGCCCCCGCTAGGGCCGCAAGAGGAAGTGCTCACAGGAAAGCTGGACCGCAAACTGCCGGGACCGGTTTCCCCCGGGCCGGAAGGGGCGGGGCGCCGGCCTCGGGCGGGATGTGGCCGAGCGCCGAGGGCGGGAGGGCGGAGCTGCGGCCGGAGGCCGGCCAGCATGAAGGCGGAGCGGATCGCGGCTCGGAAGCGAGCAGGTTGGCGGCGACCAGGGAGCGGCCGAGCCTCGGTGACCCTGGGCGGAGCTCCGCGGTCCAAGTGCTCGGCTCGCCGAACGAGGTGGGCGGGCGGCTCGGGACCATGGCCAGGGCCGGCATGGAGAGGTGGCGTGACCGGCTGGCACTGGTGACCGGAGCCTCGGTGGGCATCGGCGCGGCAGTGGCCCGGGCCCTTGTCCAACAGGGCTTGAAGGTGGTGGGTTGTGCCCGCACCGTGGGCAACATCGAGGTAAGACCCGGCCTGGGAGCCGGGACGCCCCGTAGACGTTTCCGCGGGGTCCGGCCATGGGTGGTGGGGGAGGGGGTGGGTGGCCGGAGCCAGGCTGTGACCCTGCCTTCACTCGCTTGCCACCCCAGGGCCAGCTGCGACGGGCTCATGGCAAGGAGGGAAGGATGTCTAGCAGGGAAAAGGCCTCTTGGATTCCATAGGGCAAGCCTTCTGCGTTCGCAGTCTGCCCCTACTGCTGGGTACCTGATTCCTGACCCCTGACCCCTGGCGCACCCCCACCCCCACCCCCGTGCTTCTGCCCGGGATATTGGCCTGAGGAGACCACGGCCTTGCTAGGCAGCAGGGGAGCAGGGAAGAAAGCTCTCCGTCCTCAGTGGCTGTGGTCACTGGATTGCTCGTCCCAGGAGCTCCCCCAACACCAGATGAGCAGGAGCTGAGGTTTTGAGTTTTGAGTTTGGACCCAGGTTGGAGTGGGGCTGGAGCTTTTCTCAGGTCCCCTCTCCAAATTCCCGTGTCAGAGGGCTAACCAGTGGGCCTAAGGGATATGTGGAATATTCATTGGCAGACCTTTCTCAAATTCATTTACTTAAAGTGACTTCATTTTATGACATTTCACTTTAAAAAAAATATTTATTTTATTTAAAAGCAGAGTTATAGAGAGGCAGAGGCAGAGAGAAAGAGGGAGGTCTTCATCCGCTGGCGCACTCCCCAAATGGCCGCAAAGGCCAGAGCTGAGCTGATCCAAAGCCAGGAGCCAGAGGCTTCCTCCTGGTCTCCCACGAAGGTGCAGGGGCCCAAGGATTTGGGCCATCTTCTGCTGCTTTCCCAGGCCACAACAGAGAGTCGGATCAGAAGTGGAGCAGCTGGGATATGAACCAGTGCCCATATGGGATGCCAGCACTGCAGGCTGGGGCTTTACCCGCTATGCCACAGAGCCAGCCCCTCAAATTCACTTTCCCAGGTGGCACTGGGTAGGCGAAATAGGACATTGAACATGTAAGCCTGAGGGAACAAAGCGGTGGACCCGGGACTCTTGGTTTTTTTCCTTCACATGGGGTTGGGGGCCCCTAGGATGATAAGCAACAAGAGCTCAGAGAAAAATGACATGAAATGGGCTCTTTTGGAGCAAAGAGGAAAGAGAGGAGAGAAATCTCTGTCCTAAGTTTGGGTTTGCCCTGAGGGTTCAGGCCAGTGCTTAGCTGCAGGGCTGTGTCTCTGCCACAGCTCAAAGTCCCCAGGCAGGAAAAGGGTGAGGACGCCTTGCGTGGGGGCAGGAAGGAGGACTGTCCCCTCCCATGCTGCTGGCCAAAGGTACGCTTTATAACCTCCCAGATAATCCCAAGGTCACCTGGCTCCACCAGTGCCCCACTCTGCCGCTCCCGTCTCGTATTCTAGGAGCTCAGCTCTCAGCCCCAGCCTTGGAGCCTAGAGGATCAGACCTGGGATAGGATCGCGGGGTTCCCCAGTTGTGAAGCCACTCTTGCCTTCTCTTCCTACCTCCCGACCCCCAGCTGGCTGGGAGCCCTGATCACTCCGCCCCATGACTCCACGGCTGGAGGGAGAATGTCTCTGACGTAGGGCCCGTGAGGCGGGGGGCGATGGGTCAGGTGGCACAGGGGACAGTAAGAAGGCAGAGAGAGGGCAGATGGTGTTCTTGGCCCCAGAGGTGGTTGTGAGGAGTTACAATGAGGTGAAGCGGGGTCTCTGAGCTTATGGATGGATGGAGTTAAAGCAGAGAGAGCGCTCCTAGGTCACCTCTCCTCCTAGCTTGGTTTGGGAGCTGGAAGGGGCTGTGCCTGGGGCGGCTGGCCAAGCTGGCCTCCCTCTAGGGCACCAGGCACTACCCGCTCCCACACTGTACCCCTCCCCTTCGTGGGCCCGAGTGCCCAGTCACTGGACTCCTAGGCCAGCCAGCCTGTTTTCTTCCCGCTGCTGAATGCCAGCTCCCCCCATGGCCATCTGTCAGGGCTTCTGCTCTCAGGCTCCTCCATGCACCCCAGGCCCTGGACATGCGCACGGGCAGCTCCATGGCACCTGCCACTTGTTCTGCATCTCCAGAAGACCTTGGGGTAGAGGGTGGTGTGCCAGGGCTTAAAGGGAGAAAGGTCAGGGCAGGGGCAGGGAGTCCGGAGGCTGGCGGCCAGCCGGCGGGAGGGGACACTGGGTGTAGCCTGGGAGGGAGGGCAGCGGTTCAGAGGTGAGCCCTTCTGGGAAGGATTGGCTGACCTGGCACAGGTCGGGGAAGCATGAGATCAGGTGGCAGGTGCCTCCTTCCCCGTGGGCAGAGGAGGTGCTTGTGCCGTGGGAGAGGCAGCAGAGGGCTGTGTGCCTATAGCAAGGCCAGGCTGCTTCTGAGAACTGAGGCCTCGCGTCCCTCCGCCGGGTCGCCGCGAGCGCTCACCTTTCCCCTCCTGTACTCTGGGCCAGCTCTCCTGGCCTGGACTTTGACCAAACAGGACAAGTGCTGTGTGGCTGCAAGGCAGCTGCTAGGAGTGGGGGAGGGCGGGGAGGTGTGGGAGAGAGCAGCTCACCCAGTTAGACCCCTGTTGGGTTTCACAGGAGCTGGCCGCTGAATGCAAAAGTGCAGGCTATCCCGGGACGCTGGTCCCCTTCCGATGTGACCTGTCCAATGAGGAGGACATCCTGTCCATGTTCTCGGCGATCCGCTCTCAGCACGGCGGGGTGGACATCTGCATCAACAACGCCGGCTTCGCCCGGCCGGACACGCTGCTGGACGGCAGCACCAGCGGCTGGAAGGACATGTTCAATGTAAGGGCTCCAGGCCCGGGCCCGGGGTGGGGAGGAGGACCCCGGGCCGTCCTGGCTGCTCCTGCCGCTTGCCCCGAATGGCCTCTTTCTTCAGCTGCTCCCCTCCTGGGAGTAGTTCTTACAGTCTAGGCCAGTTTCCTTGTGTGTGGAGAAGGCTCCATGCGGGAGAGAGTGCTGTTTCTTGAGTATCCCCACGTGCCAGCGTTGTGGGTATTTGAGAACAAGCTTTATGGGAAGACCAGAAACAGAGCAGCACCGGCATCTGTGGCTTCGGGCAGCTTAGCCGTCATCGTAACTTATTTGGGATGAACACACCTATGTCATCTATATCTGGGATCACAAACTCCAGTGTGCCGTGAGGTCAGGCAGGTCCCTGATGGCAGAAGGTCCGTAGGGTGTGGGCGAGCACACAGTCCCCGCGTGAGGCTAGGACAGCCGCTCCACGGCAGTGCGGCCAGGCAGATCGTAACATTGCTTTGAGAGGAGTGGACCATTGTATTTTTATGACACCGCACCTCTCCCATTCACTACAATGATATTTCCAGAAGGCCTGTATTTTTAAATGAAGGAAACTCTTTAGTGCATGTTGGAAAGGTATTAAAATGCTTAGAATTCGTGTCCAGGCAGGCACAGCCTCTAGGATGCAGGTTTTTAGCTGCCTGTGGTCAGTGATACTAGGGCAGAAAGTGTTCTGAGAACTTGACACCAGGCCTCTTTTTTTTTTTTTTTTTTTTTGACAGGCAGAGTGGATAGTGAAAGAGACAGAGAGAACGGTCTTCCTTTTTCCGTTGGTTCACTCCCCAATGGCCACTGTGGCCGGCGCACTGCGCTGATCCGAATCCAGGAGCCAGGTGCTCCTCCTGGTCTCTCATGCGGGTGCAGGGACCCAAGCACTTGGGCCATCCTCCACTGCACTCCCTGGCCACAGCAGAGAGCTGGCCTGGAAGAGGGGCAACCGGGACAGAATCCGGCGCCCCGACCGGGACTAGAACCCGGTGTGCCGGCACTGCAGGCGGAGGATTAGCCTAGTGAGCCGCAGCGCCGGCCTGGCCAGGCCTCTTTTCTCCTAGAATCCTCTTCACCTGATAGATGCTGGGGCCTGGAAGTGCAGCCCTCTTCTGGGAGGACCTCTGGGGAATGGCAGTCCTAGTCCTTACTTGTAGCAGGAGCATCTGTAACCTGGGTCGCCTCTGGCCGTGTGTGCCAGCATGAATACTACCTGAGGCTCTTAGGATCCTCTTAGAAGCCCCACCCCAGCCCCAGCCTCTAGACCCCGGAGACTCCCCGATATGGTCCCAAGGCATTCATTTATCCTCCCACTGCCCCCAGAAATGAGTTTGCTGCCCTGCGAGCCCACACTGCTAAGAGGATAAGTAACTGGGCTGAACACCTCCCCTGTCCCAGTGCCCGTCTCTTCCGTTGACACTGAGGGTGACCTGTTCCTCACACGCCGCTCTGACACCTGATAAAGGGGCGCCTCTACTCCCCAGCCAGCCCCCTGTCTTCCCGGGAGGAGAGACCCAAGGCCCCGCTGACAGCTTTATCTCTGCCTGTCCTCGTGGGTGAGGCCAGAGGGTGGGGCCGGCCAGGCAGCATCCAGCAGGCACTTGTGCAGGCCTCCATTCCAGCCCGGGCGGGACCGGGTCACCTCTGCCAGCAGGGGTGAGAGCAGCTCGTCACCCCACCTCCTGAAGAGTCTGTGCCTCGTGACATGGGCGGAACGCGGGCTCACAGAGCGCTGGGCCTGCTCTCCCCGGCTTATAGTCACGAGGAGGGTGGGGTGGGAGCGGAAGCGATGGAAAGGGCCGGGGTCTGCGCCTGCACAGGGAGACTTCTCGGCCACCGTAGGCAAGCTTTTGGCTTTTGAGGAAGGAGCGGGGCCAGGCCGCTGTCCCTCAGAAGCGAAGAGTAGGGGTTTGGGGAAGGGACTGAGTTGACTCCCTGAGGCACAGGAGCCAGCCCGGAGTGTCCTGGGTCCAGGAAGCCTGGGGCATCAGCCAGGAGAGGAGCTGCTGCTGCCGGGGGCGGGGGCGGGGCTGTCATCAGTCTCTGGGACGGCCCCACCACCTCTCCCTGCTGCTGTGGCCCTGGGCTGGAGACGCCCCTCTGCCCTCCCTGGCCTGTAGGTCAATGTGCTGGCCCTCAGCATCTGCACCCGGGAAGCCTACCAGTCCATGAAGGAGCGCGGCGTGGACGACGGCCACATCATTAACATCAACAGGTGAGCGCTCGCCAGCCTGGGTCACCGCTGCTGCTCGCCTGGGAGCCAACACCCACGTGGAAATGTCACGGCGAGGGAAGGCACGACGTGGTCATGCGCTATCCCCTGGCTCGCTGGGGGAGGCAGCTCGGCCTTCCCTCTGAGTGTGGCCTGCTGGTTGTCCCGGGGCGGAGCAGCTCCGCTCTGCAGGCCCTGGCTGAGCTCTGGCCGTGGCCTGGAGAAAGGCTGTGTTGCCTCTGCCATCGGGGGCTCAGAGGGAGGGCGGACAGGGCCTGTGCCTGAGCCACATCAGTGAGCACCCAGATGAGGCTGAGGGATTCTGGCTTCCTGCATTCTGTGGTCAGTACAGGATGACTTCCGGGAGGAGGAGGTTGTCGGGAGCTGCATGAATAATGAGCTAGAGCAGTGGGCTGGAGCTGGCACCAGAGGTGCCCTCTAGATGGCTTCCCTGTCGGCGTCTGGCTGATGGACTTGGCTGCAGGGGGACAGCAGGGGCACTGCGGTCTCCCTGGGGCTTCACTTGGCTTTCCCCTCCCCTCCTTCTACCCAGCATGTCTGGCCACCGAGTGGTACCCCAGTCCACGGGGCACTTCTATAGTGCCACCAAGTACGCCGTCACCGCGCTGACAGAAGGACTGAGGCAAGAGCTGCGGGAGGCCCAGACCCACATCCGTGCCACGGTGAGGGTGTGGCCTAGCCCTGGTGGGGATGGGTGGGCAGAGACGCCCGCCCCACCCCATGCCCAGGGTGCACCGCTTCCAGCCCCTGGAAGCAGACAAGTGCGGAGCTCCTGGGCTCTGCGCTCCTCGAGTGTCCTCATGTCACTCACTCAGGAGCCAGCGGGTGGGGGGCTGGCTTGAGGGGAACATGGTGGGAGGAGCCTAGCAGAAGCAGGGGACCGGAACATCAGGTGCACAGCGGCCGGACACCAGGCCCCTTGAAGACCGCATGACCTTGGGCAAGTCCCGAACCTCTCCGAGCCTTCGTCTTCTCATTTGTCAAATGGAACTGCTCTATTTAGTGGGGACACGATTCTGTAAAACATTGACTTGCCACATAGGATGGGCACAGCTAGCGCACATCACGGTCACTGTTGGCGGCAGTGGCGGGGCACTGGGCCAGCCTGTGGTCTCCTGCTTTCCCCCACTCTCCCTGTGGCCCGGCCAAGCTCCGTCCTGAGCAGCCCTCTCTGCTGGCCCAGTGTATCTCTCCAGGCTTGGTGGAGACACAGTTCGCCTTCAGACTCTACGACAAGGACCCTGAGAAAGCAGCTGCCACCTATGAGCAAATCAAGGTGGGGCCCTGCTCGGTCCCTAAGTGAAGGCAGAGGGAATCCTCCTAGCCAGCTTGTCACCCTTCCCTGAGGGCCGGAGCGGGAGCGAGTGTCGGGAGGAACCCTGGTGGTGGAGGGGAACGGGGCGGGGGTGGTGGGGTGGGGTCCACTCTGTCCTTGTCTCAACCCCCCCCCCCCCCCCCGTGCTCTCAGTGTCTCAAAGCCGAGGATGTGGCCGAGGCTGTCATCTACGTCCTCAGCACCCCTCCGCATGTCCAGGTGAGTGTCTTCGGGTGTCCGCACCTTGGAGGAGCCCAGGCGTCCCCGGAGGAGGGGAGCCGGGAGGTCGGACGGGCGCGGGGAGAGTGTCTGGGCTGCCCCCCGCCTGTGCCTTCCACAGATCGGAGACATCCAGATGAGACCCACGGAGCAGATGTCCTAGAGCCCGCAGGGAGCTCCTCCCTCCCCACCCCGCGAGGCTTGGCTCCTGCCTCTGGATTTCAGATTCTGATTGCTGCACCCTGGGTCCCGTTCCTGCCCCCACTCCCCCAAGGGCTAGAACATTTGTTGGAGGTTTTTGTATCACTTTGTCAAATTGTTTCCATAGCAAAGGTGATGGGCTGGGGCGGGGAGGTGGTGCCCAGGTCATTTCTCTGTCGGGCTTGTCGGGCTTGTTGGGCTTGTTCTCGCCCCTCGCCCCTCACCTTGGCTCCTTCGCCTTTGCTGTCCTCAGTCTCTTCCCTTTGATCTGGGAACGGGGCTGTGGCCCAAAGCGGGACTGCTCCTGTCTTCTTGTCCGCCAGCCCCTGGCCCTCAGGGTGCTGGTGGTGGAGGGAGGCCCTCACTTTCTATCTGAGTGGTTATCCTGGGCCCCAGGCTTCCTCCTCTCCCTGCCCCCGCTCTCCCTCCAGTGTTGGCATCTGGGCTGCTGCTGGGGTCATCACCACCTCTGCCTGTGGCAGCAGTGTCAGGCCCAGCTCCCAGAGGATCTCACTGTGATCATTAAAGAAAAATCACACCAACCAGCCTCGGCTTCAGAAGTGTGTCTCCGTTCTGCGGCTCTGTGGTTAAGGAAGGTCCTGCCTTCCCCCTGAGTGTGGATGGTCTCAGGTGGGCTCAAGATTGGGGGGGAGGGTGTTCCTGCTGCATCTTCACAATGGGCAGGAATTTGCCAAAGACACAGAGAAGGCAGCCGGGTGTGCAAGGCTGGAGGCAGAAGAGCACCAGCACTGTGCAGACACAGGAGTAGGTGCGGTACGGGGTGGGCTGGAAAGGGTGGCTCCTGTCTGGATCCCTGGGGGTAGGCCAAGGGCGCCAGCTAGCTTGTCAGCAGGCAGTCACAGGCCCAGAGCTGCCACGCCGCCGTAAGACAATCAGTGGCCAAGGAACAGGAGGTGTGACAAAAAGCCTGGGGGAAGCCACCAGCCCCTGAAGCGGGGAGGGAGGCTCCGAGACTGGCTCCGTCGAACAGGACGATCAACTCATCCTCTTGAGGTGTCTCCTGCTGGTGTGTGGTAAATGCAGCCCCCGGCCCCCTCGCCCCAAACCTCCTGGGATCTCGAAGGTCACAGCAGAGTGAGCCACACCTTGGAGCGCCGCTCAGCCAGCCCCGCAGAGGGCGCTGTGGGGACGCCCTGGGGGCCGGGCATGCGCGAGACGCCGCCAGGCCGGGGGCGGGGCCGCCCGAACGCGGAAGCTCGGGAGGCATGGAGCCGGGCTTGTGGCTCTGCGGAGCGGCTCTGGGTAGTCTCGGAGCGGGCTTCCGGCTGGGGCAGCCGTCGCCTCCCCTGCTTCCCAGTGCCCGAGAGTGAGCCCCAGGGAGCGGGTAACCGCAGCGGGGCCATGGGGTTGCTCCCGGCCGTCCGGGGCGCGACCCGGGGCTGCTCTGGTCGCCTCGTGACCCGCGCTGTCTCCCAGGAGGCGCGGCGTGGGGTGCGGCCGGGTGGGGAGGAGCTCGGCCGCCTGCGGCTGGATGACCTGGCGCCGGCTCCGCGGCTAGAGCTGCTGTTTGGCCTGTCCCCGTGTCTCCTGGCCCTGCGGGCCGCCCGCCGCCGCGTGGCGCGGCTTCTGCTCCAGGCCGGGAGGGCGGGGCTGCAGGGGGAGCGCGCGGAGCTGCTCCGGGCAGCCGAGGCGCGGGGCATCCCGGTTCTGCGGCCCAGACGGCAAAAGCTGGACGCCCTGTGCCGCCACCAGGTCCACCAGGGCGTCTGCATGGAGGTGAGCCCTCTGCAGCCCCAGCCCTGGACTGAGACCATGGGGGCGGGCCCAGGTGCCGACCCCCAGCAGCTGTGGCTCGTTCTCGACGGGCTCCAGGATCCCCGGAATCTTGGGGCTGTGCTGCGCTCCGCTCACTTCCTCGGAGTGGATAAGGTCATCACCAGCCGGAGAAGCAGGCACGATGTCCCTTACTCCCCGTGTGCAGTGGGAAGCGCCCGGGGCGGGAAGGGCGCCGGCCCGAGACTGCCCAGCCTAATGCGGGGATTGGGGCACCTTGCAGCTGCCCGCTCACCCCGGTAGTCAGCAAGGCCAGCGCGGGGGCAATGGAGGTGATGGACGTGTTCTCTACGGATGACCTGGCCGGTTTTCTACAGGTAATGGCGAGAGGGGAAGGTGTGGAAGTGAGGCCAACCGAGCCTCTTCCAGGGCGTTCTGCCAGCAGATAACGGGGGAAGGGACAGAGCAGGGGACCTGTTGGCTTTGCTTGCTAAGGCCTCGTAGTCCCCTTTCGGAAGGGAAGCGTCCCGGAGTATTTCAGGCACAGAGCGAGCCCTGTCTGAAGGTGGGGGCTTGGCGCGTTATTGCCTCCTGCACTGCTTCCCTAGGCTTACAGCTCTGCCTCCTCTGTAAGCCTACCGCAGCATCTCATCCCCTACCTAGCAGGTCTTAGCAAGTGCTTGTTGTTCAGCCGTGGGCAGCAAGTGGACAGGAGGAAGCCTGGGCCCCTGGAGTAGGGGCACTACCCGAAAGGATCTGTGAACAAAGGGAGCTTTAGCCTTTGATACCCAGGAAGGGACCAAATCTAAAGAAACTCTTGGCCGGGGTGTGTGTGTGGGGCGGGGGTGTGTGTGGGTATGTGTGGTCCATGCACCTGTCTTTAGCTGTACTTCTTTGGCTGGGCACCAGGGGGCAGTATTGCTCCACACTTGGCAGCCCCTCTGGCGAGCTTGGTGTGTGTGTGTGGCACAAGGGTGTTCAATAACTAACCGCATACGTAATTTAAGATTTTCTGGTAACTATGTTGAAAAATAAAAAAAGGTGAAATTAATCTTATAATGTGTTTCTTCCACAATTATCCAGCATTAAAATTAATATCCATCCAGTATTAGATTATAATTTTAACGTATAATCATCGTAAATATTATTAGAGTATTTTGTAGTTATGTGTATCAAATTCAGCGTGCAGCACATGTCAGTTTGGACTAGCCACGTTGCAGGTGCCTCATCACCACGTGTAGCTCGAGGCTGCTTAATGTAGAACCGCGAGTGTGTCTGGAGGCGTCTCCTGGCTTTACCTTCTTGTAGGAGCCTCCTTTGGAGGAGCTCTGGCCAAGCCTGGTTGGAGGCGGCGTTCGCTGGCCTCACTTCCAGCCCCTGAACAAGTAGGCCCTGAAAAGACGGGAGACACTTGGCAGAGCCCTCCTGTGAGCCCCAGACGGCACCCCGACCTCTTCCTGCCAGCATCCGGGCCAGGACTCGGTCCGCCCCCCCGCTGCTGGGGAAGACCTGCTTGGAGGGGCCGGAGGGGCCGGTGCTGGCCCCGCTGCTGTCAGGGTCCGCCCCTGTCGCAGCTGCCCTCCCTCTCAGTGGCCGGCAGGCATACATGCCCCCCCATCACATACTGAGCCCAAGCCTTGTCCAGGTCCCCAGTGCCCCCCTTGTTGCTACAGCCAAGTGTGCCTTCTCGGTCCTCTCTGACTCGCGCTGTCCACAGTGTCTGCACAGATGACCGTGCCTCCCTCCTTGAAACGCTGGTCACCTGGGCTTCCGCCTGCCTTGCTCTGCACTCCCTTGGAGTTGCCTTCGGTGGTTCCTCCTGAACCCCTTGACCGCCAAACATCAGCGGGCCCCAGGTCTCAGCCCTTCGACGTCTGGGCAGACTCATTTCTGGGAGTCTCCACTCGTCTGAAGACACGAAACGTCGCCTGTCTTCCGCTACCGCCCACGTGCACCTCCCAGCCTGGGTCGCTCATCCAGTGGCCTGCCCCACCCCCCAGCTCGCCCTTTGCCATCTCATGGGCGTTTCAGACTTGACGTTTCCTGAGCACTGGTTCTTCCTGGGCCCCAGCTGCCTCAGTCAGTGGTGGCTCCCTCCCTGCAGTCGTTTGGGCCAGACCTTGGCTTTGTCCGCGGCCCTCCCTGCTCTCACACCCATGCCCTTTCAGCTTTACCTGGAGCTTAGGCCCTTATTCCCACCATCCATACTGCTACTGGTCTGGCCCAAGCCCCTGGCACCTCCTCACTGGCGGCCTCCTGCTGCGGGCTCCCGGCACGGCCGGCAGAGAGAGACTTACTGAACAAAGCCGGACCTGCTCGGAGCCTTTCAAAGCTTCTGCATCGCCCACCCCATTGCTTTGCCCCTGGCACTGGTGCCCTGACTCTGCCTCGGACGGGCCTTGGTGCCTGCTGGTCTCTGGAATGTCTCTGGTGCCTCTGGTGTCTGGAATGTTCTCCCCTGGGATGTGTTGCCGTCACATCTGCATCCAAGTGTCCCTTCATTGTGGTCTCCCCCAGCCACTCTTCCGTGGGCTGGAGTTTTGCTTAGTTCACTGGCTTATCTCCAGGGCCCAGAGCAGAGCCCGGCCTGACCCCGATCTTGGGGTCTTGGCTGACCTCAACGGATGGGCCAGGAGTGAAGGGAAGGCTGGGCTGCCCCGGGCCCTGGCTCGGGGGAAGATTTGGTGAGCTGGAATGTGCCTCCTTGCCCCTCGCAGGCCAGAGCGCGGCAGGGCTGGCTCGTGGCCGGCGCCGTGGGCCCCCCAGGGCCTGAGACTGCCCAGTCGTCCGAGGTCCCCGTCACCAGTTGCCTGGACTTCCTGTGGGACCGGCCGACTCTGCTTGTGCTGGGTAGGTGGATGTCCCCACCTTTCTGTGCTCAACATACGGGTAGCCAGCCGGGGCACCCTCACCCTCTGCCCTGTGCCCTGCAGGGAACGAGGGCTCTGGTCTGTCCCAGGAGGTGCAGGCCTCCTGCCGCTGCCTCCTCACCATCCTGCCCGGGCGCCAGCTGCCCCCCGGACTGGAGTCGCTGAATGTCTCCGTGGCTGCAGGTGAGCCTGCCTCCCTTCCCGCTGCGCGCCCCGCCCACCACACAGGTGCAGCTCCTCTCCTGTCCCGGAGAATGCATTGTTTCAAGGCTGAATGAGGGGAGGGGGTGCTGCGTGCTCCCTCCTCTCCCACCCTCTCTTCCCCTTGGCCTGCAGGGATTCTTCTCCACGCCATCTGCAGCCAGAGGAAGGCTCTCCCCGCAGACGGGGACGGACGGCGGCTTCTCCAAGACCCCACAGGACCTCTCAGCCCCGGCCCCGGGGCGGCCCCCGGCTCAGGAAACCAAGATGGCGGCTGACATGGACGGTCCGAGACGGCACGTACACCCGCGGCCTCCGGGGGCCGGGTCTCGGCCTGTCCCACGCCTGGATGTTGACCCATCGTCTCCGGGGCAGGGCACCTCGAGAGGAAGTTCAGACTCCTGCTTCGCTGTTGGACTTGCAGTTGCGGGTGGCATTTCGCTCATTTCCAGCTCTGCCCAGGACGGGGTGGGGTGAGTGTCCTCCCTGCCTGGACGTCAGGGGAGCGGGCGGCCCAGTGCGGGGGTCGGATTCCCTGCTAAGTGGCGAATGCGTGGGCCTACCGGGGGGCCTTGGCTGCACCTACCTCACAGGGCTGTTGTGAGGAGCCAATAAAATATGGCCTGGTATCCAGTGGGCAGCTCTGCAAATGGGAGAGTCTGTCCGGTTCGCCCATTAGGTGGCAGCCTCGCTCTGCGGCCCGCAGTCTTCCCAGAACCTCAGGCCAAGGCGGCCTCGGGTGGGGGTGGGGCGTGTAATGGGCGAACGTGTGGGCCAGTCCGTCCCAGTGGAAGGAGCCAGCCCACAGCCAGAGCCCTGCCCTTGGAGGCCCTGAGGACTGGATTGCTGGTTGTCTTGTACCCAGACAGGGAGGTCCCCGTCCCGGGTCAGCAGGGCTGCCGGGTGGGCCAGCACCAACCCCAGAGAGTGTGAAGTGATAGGTCTGGGTAACACCTGGGCATCACAAAAATTTTTTTTCCTTTCACTTTAGTTGAAAGGCAGCGAGAACCGGCGCTGCGGCTCAATAGGCTAATCCTCCACCTAGCGGCGCCGGCACACCGGGTTCTAGTCCCGGTCGGGGCGCCACATTCTGTCCCGGTTGTCCCTCTTCCAGGCCAGCTCTCTGCTGTGGCCAGGGAGTGCAGTGGAGGATGGCCCAAGTGCTTGGGCCCTGCACCCCATGGGAGACCAGGAGAAGCACCTGGCTCCTGGCTTCGGATCAGCGCGGTGCGCTGGCCGCGGCGGCCATTGGAGGGTGAACCAACGGCAAAGGAAGACCTTTCTCTCTGTGTCTCTCTCTCTGTCCACTCTGCCTGTCACTGTCAAAATAAAAAAAAAATAGATAAAAAAAAGAAAAAGAAAGGCAGTGAGAGATCTTCCATTTGCTAGTTCACTCCCCAAGCCAGGAGTCCCGAAACCCAATCTGGGCCTCCCACGTGGGTGGCAGAGACCCAAGTACTGAGCCACCTGCTGCCTCAGGAAGCTGGGTCAGAAACGGAGGCAGGACTCGCACCAGGCCCTCTGCCACAGGATGTGGGCTCTCGGGAGGCGCTGTAACCGCTGTGCCAGATGCCTGGCCTGCATTGGATGTGTGGCCCAGACAACCGCCAGGGCAGCGTTCCTCACCCTCTGCACCCCGGGCACTTGGTGCTGGTAATTCTTTATGGGAAAGCACCGTGCTGTGTGTCGTAGGACATTTTGTGGCACAGCTGGCTCTTATCCACCAGATGCCGATAGCACCCTCCCCTAGAAATGTCCCCATGCCTTGCCACGTGTGCCCCACGGGACAAAACCACTCCTGGCTGAGAACTGCGTGTGGGTTTAGGGGACAGCAAGCCCTCAGTTGTAATCCTGATTGCTGTGTGACCTTGGGTAAGCTCCCTGCCCTCAAGCCTCAGTCCCCTCCCTAGATACTCGGTGCCGTGCATACAGCGGGTGCTCAATAAGTAATACACACAGCAGCCCCTCTGGGATCTGTCTGGAATGCATTTCTTTTGGAATTGTAGTGGTGATGCCAGCTGACAGCAACATCTGTTTAAAAAGGGCTTCAGATGTCTCTTTACAGTCCAAGTTTGCACTTTGAAGAAAGACAAAAGCCCCCATCAAATCCACTGATCCCTAGCGTGTGTCCCCGTGGGATACGCGTCCCTGGCTCTGGCCTGGCTCTGGCCTCTGCTCGGGTTTTTTCAGTTGGGCGGCACCTGAGGAGCCGTGGCTGGGGGAGGGGGTCACTTAATGGTGCAGTGCCCGGAGGCACTGTGGTCATCGTTTCTCCAATGCCTCGGCCGCAGCAGTCAGTGCCCCGGCTGACCGCTGCAGCCGGGTTCAACTGTTACTGTCCATGCCACCTGCTCCTGAGTGCGTGCCAGGATGAGCTCCCTTCCAGCCCGAGGGTCTTTGTGTGGCTTTCACGATGGCTTCTCCGTCTCCACGTCTGTGAAATGGGGAGAGTGCCATTATAATGCTGGCTCCATTCACTCCTTTTTCAACAAGGGAGTTATAAAAATGAGAAAATAGGCCGGCGCCGCGGCTCACTAGGCTAATCCTCCGCCTAGTGGCGCCGGCACACTGGGTTCTAGTCCCGGTTGGGGCACCGGATTCTGTCCCGGTTGCCCCTCTTCCAGGCCAGCTCTCTGCTGTGGCCAGGGAGTGCAGTGGAGGATGGCCCAGGTGCTTGGGCCCTGCACCCCATGGGAGACCAGGAAAAGCACCTGGCTCCTGGCTCCTGCCATCGGATCAGTGCAGTGCGCCGGCTGCAGCGCACCGGCCGCGGCGGCCATTGGAGGGTGAACCAACGGCAAAGGAAGACCTTTCTCTCTGTCTCTCCCTCTCACTGTCCACTCTGCCTGTCAAAAAAAAAAAAAAAAAAAGAAAGAAAAGAAAATATGGGGCTGGCAGTAGGTTAATCCTCTGCCTGCCTGTGGCACCGGCATCCCATATGGACACTGGTTCTAGTCCCAGCTGCTCCACTTCCCATCCAGCTCCCTGCTATGGCCTGGGAAAGCAGTAGAAGATGGCCCAAGTGCTTGGGCTCCTGCATCCGCGTGGAAGATCGGGAAGAAGCTCCTAGCTCCTGGCTTCAGATCGGCGCAGCTCTGGCTGTTGTGGCCATTTGGGGGGTGAACCAATGGAAGCAAGACCTTTCTCTCTGTCTCTCCCTCTCACTGTCTGTAACTCTACCTCTCAAATAAATAAATAAAATCTTTTTTAAAAATGAGAGAATATGAGAAGTGTTCTTTTTATTCAATTTTTTAAAAGATTTATTTATTTGAAAGGCAGAGTTGGGGACAGAGAGCGAGCCCCGGCAGTGTTCTGTAAAGAACTGTGCAGCCCAGGACTAGCACATGAGAATGCAAACCTTGCTCTGATTGGGAATTTCAGGTAGCAACTTGACTAGGCCGTAGCGTGTGTGGATGTTGGATCAAATATTATTCTGGGTAAGTTTCTGTCTTTGTTTTCTTTAGATTTATTATTTTATTTATTTGAAAGCAGAGAGGCAGAGAGAAAAGTCTTCCATCTGCTGGTTCACTCTCCAAATGACCACAATGGCTGGAACTGGGCCAATCCAGAGCCAAGAGCCAGGAGCCTCTTCTGGGTGTCCCATGTGGGTGCAGAGCCCAAGCACTTGGACCATCTTCTGCTGCTTTCCCAGGCACATTAGCAGGGAGTTGGATTGGAAGTGGAGCATCCAGGACTCGAACCGGTGCCCATATGTGATGCGGGCACTGCAGGCAGCAGCGTATGCATCTGCTGACAATGTTTCAGGAGCAGCCCGGTATTCACATTCTGCCCTGCCCCCTTCTACCTGATAACCTGCCAGGTGGGGGTCCCCGCCCCTTCTGCCTGACAAATCTTCCACAATCTCCACAGGCCCACCTACGTCACAATGACGGCCCCTCTGGGTAAGATTCTTCGAGGGTGTTTCTGAATGAGATGAAGATTTGAACTGGTAGACTGGGGTAGGTGTTGGCTTAGCAGTCAAGATGCTAGTTGAAATACCCACAACCTGAGTTTGATACCTGGCTCCAGCTTCCTGCTAGTGTAGACCCTGGGAAACAGCGGTGACGGCTCAAGAAGTAGGGTCCCTGCCATCCACGTGGGAGACGCAGATGGTGTTCCCAGATCTCAGCTGCAGACTGGCCCATCCCTGGCCATTGTGGGCATCTGGGGAGTGAACCAGTGAATGGGAGCTGTCTGTATGTCTCTCTGCCTCTCAAATTTAGAAAATTGTAGACTTGAGTAAGCAGTGAGTGGTTCTGATGCAGCCAGGGGAGGGCCTGCATGGAGCCAAAGGCTGACCCTCTCCCAGGAAGGAGTTCTTCCTGCCTTCAGGTCAAGTGCATTGTGGACTCCTCCTGGGTCTTGAGCCTTCTGCCTTCAGAGGAGAAGGGCGCCATCTGCACCCTGGCCCTCGGGCTGGAACAGAACCACAGGCCCACCTGCTCTGCAGCTGGCCCGCCCACCCCACGCTCATGTCTTGGGATGTGCCTGTTACCGGAGAAAATGCAGGGTTCTTGTCTTCGCGCAAGAAAGAATTCAGGTGTGATACAGAGAGTAGTGGGAGGTAAAATAGCAAGGTTTATTAGGGAAGGGACATCCGTAAGGATGGATGGGCACCTCTCCAGACAGGACCCTGGAAAGAGTGCAGTCGCTTGGACTGGGGGGGCGGGGGAAGGAGCGAGGTTACATGGTTGAGTGGAGAGAGTACACCTGGCCAGACCAGGCGGGCGGCTCAGCAGAGAGGCAGAGGGCTGAGCGCCCAGTCCGGTTGAGGCCGGGGGGGGGGGTTTTTAAGGAGATGGGTCTTTGTCTTCACACATCTCCTCCTGAAACAAAGGATTTTATGGCTGTAAATATTAAGAAGCTCCTATCTGAGTTTTCCCTTGAAGGTATCAGACAGGAGGAAACCCAGCTGGCGCCATCCTGGGTTCAGAGGAAGGGTGAGCAGGACCCCCTAGAGAATGGGGATCCCGAGCAGGGTATTTGAAATCCAGATACTGGGCTGCATCTGGGAGATTGTGGAAGATCTGTCAGGCAGAAGGGGCGGGGACCCCCACCTGGCAGGTTATCAGGTAGAAGGGGGCAGGGCAGAATGTGAATACCGGGCTGCCCCTGAAATATTGTCAGCAGATGCATATGCTGGACATAGATGTCTTCTCTTTAGGCCTTTATGTCACACACACGTAAGCGCATAACTGACTTCCTACCTAACATGCCCACCTCTATCATTGTGTGGGCCAGGTGCTCATAATAGATCTCTTCTCACACGCCTTGTTTCTCTGGAGAGCCCTGACTGATGCACTGGATGAGAACTAAGGCAGGTGTCCCAGGGCCACCTCTGAGCAGGGGTGGGGGTGGGGTGGTTCCAGAACTAAGCTCTGCTCTCTACAGTCCAGCCCAGCCTGGAACTGAAAGTTGGGAGAGCAGATACTGGGGGTTCAGGACCCCTCTCCTGCCCGTGAACCCCTGTGTGGTGCCTGGAACCTATCTGAGCTGCTTTGGGCATGACATTCAGTGGCTTTCTGTGCCCAGTGGGTTGGTGGCTCAGAAGGCCCCCTCCCTGGGCTGGGGGAGAGCTGGGCATGGGGCCCTCCCTGCTCCCTCCCTGCGCAGCGGGCTCAGTTAGACCAAAG